ATCCCTCATGAACTTATGAACTTATGACTTCCTGGCCCCATAGCCACAACTCACTAAGCAGCATCCCGACCCTGGGGAAAACTAAGTCAGGGTCATGGGCTGACAGCTTAACATGCCTACAGGCTCCCAACTTCCTGTTCTTCAAGTTCTTGCAGCTCAACGACCCCAAGAAAATTGCAGTGAACTTGGCGGAGTTGCACAACGTTCCCCAGGCAGATGAACGGACAGCTGTCTACCACCTTACTTTGCGAAAGGGACAGCAGAGTGCCATGGACGCCTTCTATGACAAGCTCAAGGCACAACAACAGCCTGTGGATTGGGTCAGGCCGAAGCTTCCCGAAGTTTTGCGCACTACACAGTTTGCAGAGGAGCTGAAGTGGTTTCTTAGCTGCCATCACCCACCTTAATTATAACACTATGACTATGACTAATACGGATTTATTGTGAGTCGTTTTATATGATTAATTAAATACGATATCCTGGATATCGAATCCTATATTTGTTGTACTATTGTTTTTGTTGATTCATTTTGCTGATGATCTAAACATTGACCATTTGATGCTGCATGTGGCAAGCACGCTCTGATAATCTGAAGTCTGAAGGTGTCAAACTCACTTGTTGTTCTTCATGGAGTCTTGTCACGTGGTTCCAAGCCTTTACACTGCTTTTCTGTATTTTGATGGCTATGGGCTATGGGCCTGAGGTTGCCATCGCCTGGCGATGAAGGTGCCCAGCCCGTTGGTGACTATGCCAATGAGAGTGGGTTCTGCAGCGTCATCATGGCAGATTTGCAGAGGATCTTCGCGTGCCTCATGGTGGACTCCCCAAACAAGGACACCACCTACTTGTGTGCAGTTGCGAACATGAGGCGCGTGACCTTCTCAAGCAAGATCACTTTGACGATGTCTTCCCACGCCTCTTGGAGGACGCTGGGGTCTGGGAGTGGTCGTGCTGGGGTAGGCCGGGCTTTCGGGCTTGGACTAGGCAAAGGATTGCAAGCCAACGGTCCTCTTCAGCTTCAATTCTAGGCTTCTCAGTGGTGTCAGTGACAGTGAGTCTCAGTGTTGGTGACTTTTCAACTACTTCCCACGCCCCCTGACCTCTTTCGCCTTCAGGAGTTTGTGGCACAAGGTGCTTTCTTCTTATCGCGAAGTAGCAGCTACAGCCTTGACTGTGAAGGTTGCAACGTCAGCAGCAGAGTTCATTGTCACCTTGAAGAGCTTGGATGTCGACACGTTGCTCGATTCATCTTGGGACACCATGCAGGAGCACAAGGCCCTGGTGATGAAATTGAGCAATGTCAATGAAACCATCAAGCAGCTCAAGGCATGTGCCGGTGGTGTGGAAGGATCTGAGGCCGCCCTCAAATCGCTCATTGATGCCAAGGATGACCTTTTCAAATGGTTGGATTCTTCTTTGTGCGAAGAGTTCGACAACAAGCTTGAGACACTTCAGAAGTGGGCAAATGATGTGACGTCAAGCGCTGCCGACGCACTGGAGAAGGGACATTTCCAGCAAATGGCAGCGGTTTGCCCATCTGAGATGCCCACGCCCCCGGACTTCGTGAACAATGCCTTCGTGCTCCACTGTTCTTTGGTGAGTCAAAGGTTTTGAGTTTGACTCACTAACTGTTTTTGCTTTGTGCTTCTGCTTTGATTTATTTGTTTGTGGTCATTCCGATGATACACACATCACATATAACATTATATATAGATAATAGATATTAAATACATCTATATATATATATATATCATCTATATTTCATATAAAATATGTATTCAGAATTCATTTCATTCGGATTGATTCTTGACTAACTTGTTACTGGTTTCCATTCCAGATATTACATTTTCAGATTTCAGGCAACTTCAGTCTCAAATCGCCTCGTTCATATCATTGCCCATCGGGCCATTGTTCCAATTTCAAGTCTATATAGTCAGTCTATGTATGCAATTTCAGAACCAGTTCAGTCCCTTCATTAATTCATTCATTCATTCATTCATTGATTCTTTCATTCATGCATTCATTCATTATTCATTGATTGATGGATGCATTATTGATTCGGCGATTATTTGATTATTTCAATATTCAATATTCATTTTTATGTTGTTGATGATGAATCGAATCATTCTTTCAAAATCACGTCATTTCACGTCAGTTTTGTTTCGTTATTCCTTCAGATTAATTCATTCATTCATTCATGCATTCATTCATTCGTTCAGATTCACTCATTCATTCATTTAACTTGTCATACTAATTCACACATACCGTTACGTACTGCATACTTCATACTTCATACTATTGACTATTGCAGTTCCCAGACTGGACTGACTGAATATGTTTCGAACTGATTGATTCCAAGGTTGGGTCCTCAGCATCATGCGTGATGTCTCTGAGAATGGTGGCGGTCACATTGGAGATGGCTTGGCAGAGTTTGCCCTGTGCTTCAAGTTTCCCGCACAGGCCCTTGGCGAGTTCCAACCTGAGAAGGTTGGTGCATTGACAGTGCCAAAGATCTCTACTGAGGTGAACCGCTACTGCTTGCGTTTGAGCAAAGTCCTCAACCCATCAAGCAAGGCACAGGCTAGCACCCCAGCTGGCGTGGCATACAAAGCCCTACGTTCCATGCTCACACGACTCCAGAGATTGGTTGCAAGCCAGGTAATCATGGCTGTGGCTTCAGAGCCATCTTCGAAGTGGACCTTGGATGATTTTGTGAAGTGCTTGCCACCCAGCTTCCACCCATCTGCTCGTGGCATTCACGCATGTTCGACTTTGCAAGAGGAACGCAAGGCCTTGGAGACTGCAGAGCACGAGTGGGACTTCTTGGCTCGAAAGCTAAGCTTCTTTGAAACCATCTCCAGCAGTCTTGAGATCGGATTGCTCGGTGAAGAGTTCATGAAGCATTTCAAAGAGCCTTGTGCTGCCTACGTGGAGGCATACATCCAGGCATGTGAGATGCCACTCAAGGAGGTTGGGGAGGGGCTGTCTTCCGAGCTCACCAAGTTCTGGAAGACCTATGGCCATGTCATCGATTGTGCAGAAACTTGGCAAATGCAGCAAGTCTCCAGCTTCTTCGACCGGGACAATGAGGAGAGTATGAAGGCAGAGCTTGGCGGGATCAAGAGCAACTTGGACCAAATGCAAAGCTTTTGCGAAAGCATGGGAGGGGTGATTGGACACTCCAGTGGAAATGAGATGCTCAAGTCTTGCATTGAATGCTGCGGCAAGTTTGCCAAAGAGGCTGCATCTCTCATGAAAGATGTGAAGAAGGCTTGTACTACCCTTGTTGTCGCTGCAGAGTTCTTGTGTGATGATCCTCCGACGCGGAAGTCGGTCCAGCACGTGCTGAAGTTTGTCGGTGATGAGTTTGGCTTGAGCAAGGAGGACCTGCCAAGCAAACTCCGGAAGCTCGTGGCCGACGCTCTGGCTGACAACAAAGTCAAGAAGGACAAGGAGAATAAGGATGAATCCATGCCAGCGGCGGAGCCCAAGAAACGGGCCAAGGCAGCGAAGGACAGTGCACCAAAGAAGAAGCCCAAGAAGTGAGTGGCGCCATTTTGATTTTGAATTTTGACTCATTCAGTGAGGGGCTAGACTGGAGACAGACTTAGGTGGATGAGATGACTCATTCACTACTGCACTGTGTAGGTAGGAAGGGGGGTTGTAAAATTGTACCTTGAAAAAATTAACTTTTATATATAGTTATATATATACATATACACACACTGTCACATAAATATATTTACAAGTTTTGTGTATGTGAATGTATACACTCCCCCAACCACTCTGACTGGAATCACTTCAGTTCTTTTGTTGCCCTAGTTGTGAGTTGAGCCAAACCAAAACATGACTTATATCGTAGTGGCATAGTGGCGGTAGTGGTGAGTGAGTCACATCTTGCTCCGGCCCCACCTCACTGGTTAAGCCTTTGAGCGGCAGAGGTAAGCAAGGAACGGTGAAGTGAAGAGTGAAAACAAGTGTTCTGTGCAGCGATCACTGGTTTGGTCTGTTGTGACTTTTTCTCGCTTTGTGTGACAACCGGCTCGGACGGACTCACTCGATATGACACTTTACAGGTATTACGGCATTGCTATGTCTATGTTATGTTTTGTTATGTTTGTTTGCAGCTGTCCTTTCAGATCTGTTACGTGGAGTTGGTGTTTGCAACAGGATAGCATAGGGTCTGTTACATGCACTGTTCCCATTTTGTTCCCGGCTACTTGGTGTATACGGATTTTCCAACAGATAAAGAGGCCAACGTTTGGTCTAATATATATATATATATATATTTTGTATACAGATCCGGCCAACGGAATGATTTTTGACTAGGCTTGGTGCCAACTTGGTGCTGTGACTTCACAAATGTCGGCGGGAATGCTATCTAATGCACAATGGTGTCCATGCAAAAGCATGGTTTTTGCAGGCAACATACACCAAACATTGTTTTCCTTCAAAAGTTTGGAGCGGCAAAAGGAAAAATGCCAAAATCAAGGTTCTGAAACATGAGCTACTTGGCTCTACTTATTTCTACTTACGGCATACTAAAAACAATTGACGTTACGCATTTGTTGAGTGAGAAATTAGGAAGTGCGTGATAGCTAGAAAATAAGTAGATGCGCAATAGATCGCAACAGGATAAGTTACTTAATGTCATATGTAATTTAAGCGGTCCTGAAGGTACCCCACCAGAACATTGGCCTTATATAATTCCTTCTCAGCTCGTTTTGGTAGAAGCTTGGGGTTCGGGGTCCTCAATCAAGCAGATGGCTGGCGGCCAATCGGCTGTACTTCGACACATTTTGTGTATCAACCTCCAGGTTGAAACAATGAGTTGGTGCTTTCTGCAGCACTTCCCAGTTGAATCACAATGTAATTAGAGATGGAGGGAGGGAAGGAGACTGAGATTCAGGAGATAAGAATCGCATGTTCGATTGGCCTGCAGAGGCCTTTGTGGAGCCTGTTCATGGAACTAGCACATATCGGAACGCAGACCTAGCAAGGACCGCTGCCGTTTGCGTGGGGATGCCCGAAAGCTGCTGCGAACAATCCGCTGCGTCACATTTGGATCGCCAATGTGCTTTGGTGCTGACTCTGAAGATCGTGATGAGAGCCTTGATGAATGCCACGTTGAGGCTAAAAAGATCCGATGTTTAAAGTTTAAAGAGACAAGCTTCAATTCATTCAGTGCACCATCGACAAGCCGAGGAAGTTTGCCAGGTTTGAGGAATTTGCCCGGGAGCGATGCGTGAATTTCATCAACGCAGGCCTGAGGGCGTGAAAAGCGGAGGCTGCAAATGCCAAGTGCTGGTGAAGCAAAACCACTAAGCTCATGGGATCGGATGCGGCGTTTGCTAGGGAGAGGAATTTGGTCACCAGGTTCGTCATGTTGAGAGGGCTCTTTGGGCGGCAAGGATTAGATGGTAGATCAAACTTCTCTTTGTGGCTGAAGCAACGTGATCGCCCAGCACCTGCTCATTTTTGCGGGGGGCAAGATTGGATGATTAATCCAGGTCCAGTAATTACAGCTCTTCGTGACACGTGGTCCGCCCCGGAGTTTGGCACGGAAGGCGACCCATGCCCCCGGGCCTGGTCTGCAGTAAGCCCTCGAGATGTCATTCGTGAAGCGGCCGAGTACATGAAAGAGCAAGCCAAGGACCGGTAGATATGAGTCAAACGAAACTGGTATATGTACGGTATATACGATTGGAGAATCATTCTGCTGGCAACTTTGACGCGATACTTGTTGTGACAAGGAGAGGAATATGGTCAGTGGACGAATTGCTGCCAAAGTGATTCATGCGGCAACCAGTGCCTTGCTGGCTCGACAAGACACAGATCATCTCGTTGGCTCCTCACAGGGCTTCAAACACCTCTCCACAATTCGCTTGCTCACCCGTGAGGAGACTTCAGACAACTTGAGTATCAAGACGCGTTTACTGATCGTTTTTTAAAGTGCGAAATGCAGCCAGGATAAAGAGCACATTCATTGGCAACGAGACTTCTCTTTGGCGCCACGGGGGTTTGGAGACCATTCAATGTCTGAGTGCCTCAGTGTCGTTGTCCTGAGACAATATATATATATATATAGATGAGCTTGACAGCATTTTGCATTATATTACGAAAGCCAGCCGATAGGCTAGGCTTGAGCTCTTAGAGCGAACGAAGTGAGTTAAGGGGGTGTGGGGGGGGGAGGGCGCGAAAAGGCACATTTTGAGAGGGTGAACCCGGAGCTTGGTGGGGGAGAGTGCTCCAAAGCGAGGGTCAGAAAAGCAGTGAAAATGGGGTTTGGTGATGCGAGTGATGCAATGGACGCCGAGTAATGTGTGCCTCTTATTAATAAACCCCCTCTCCCTTGATCAAGTGTGGGCCCCAAATAATGTGATTTCCAGAAATGCCCTAGAAAATATTGACTTGAGTTGGAAATGAAATGAAAGGAAAGGAGATTAAAGGAAAGGAAAAGAAATAAAAGGAAAGGAAAAGGCATTGAAAGGACAATGAAAGGAAAGGAAAGGAAATTGAAAAGACAATGAAAGGAAATTGAAAGGACAATGAAAGGAAAGGAAAAGACATGAAAGGAAAGGAAATTGAAAGGACAATGAAAGGAAAGGAAACCTAAAGGACTTGTAAAGGAAACCACCAAAAGAACCAGCCAAAAAGTGTTTAGTACTATTTGAGGTCTTGAGTAATTGAAGGTTTGGGCTGCTTGTGGGGGGTGGTCTTTGTGGGTTGATTTCAGGTTGCAAATTGCAATGCCCAAATAAGCAATTTTAAAAGAAACATGCAGCAGCCAAATCAAAATTCCAGAGTAAAGGAAACCACAACATAATCAGGTTTTGGAATCAGCTGAAAGCTCAGAATCAGCTTGGATGAATCAAGGTCTGGAAGCAGCTGAAAATCAAGGTCCAGAAAACATTTAGTACTATTTGAGGGCCATTTAATATTTTTTTGGAAAAGATTTAGTACTATTCACGGGCCATTTACAAATAGGAAGTCAACATTAGTGCATCATTAGCATCATGAAGGGATCTGGAGACAATTCTTCTAGTCCTGAGCAGGGCATAGGGACTGTGTAGCTCTGATCATACCAAGAAGGACCTAGCAACAAAGAGTGAACGCTCTGGGAGCGAACGATGTGAGTATGTCCAGTTGGGCGAGGTAGAGGCTTGGGGATAAGAGCGCCGCAAGAGGAGACGCAAGGAAGCTGCAAGCGTTCAACACTTCATGCTGTGCTCCAATCTTGATCTCAGTCGCAGTGATACCAGCCACAAGAAACTACAAGCTTTCAACTATAGGCGATTATAGGCGCTCTGCTATTTTTTCCTCCCAGCCCTGCTCTCTATAGGGCTTCGCTTTGATGCACGATGCCCGAAGCACATTTCAACACAACCAGAAAAACCACTTCGGGCATCATTCTCCTGGTGTTAACTGACGTTTTTTTTGCACGGATTCTCAAATAGAACACCAACAAGGGACGTTCCAGAAGGCGCCGCACCAAGCAAATCAATACTAAAAACATTCAACACTTCGTGCTGTGCTCCGATCTTCATCTACGTCGCAGTGATTGCTCTCCTCTATGTTTTCTCCCAGCCCTGCTCTTTATGGGGCTCCGGGCTTTGCATTGATGCACGATGCCCGAAACACTTTTGAAAACAACCAAAAAACTACCTTTCGGGCATCCTTCTCCTGGTCTTCACGGACGTTTATTTCTACACGGATTCTCAAATAGACCACCAAACAGGGACGCTCCAGAGAGCACCGCGCCAGGAACGTCAAGAAAACCTAAAAAACTTAAAACTTCATGCTGTGCCCCGATCTTGATCTACTCCACGTTGATACAAGCTCCACGAAAGCTACAGGCATTCAACAATAAGTGCTCCGCTATTTTTTCCTCCCAGTCTTGCACTACCATATTGGTCTCTCGCTGGCTTTCGTCCTCTCCTTTCTCAGGTTTATATATATATATAGATTGGTGTTAAACAATTACTACACGTTTCTTCCACAGATGCCGCACAAGGTACTGCGATCTACTTTTTGATGCTTGCTACGCCACCGAGCCAAGCTGCAACATGGAGGCAGTATAGGTGTAAACAAGCAAGGCAATTACAAAAATTTCCCATGTGACCATGTGACCACAATGGGGCTGGATTTCTTGTCCCTTGCCCTTGCTTGCATTTTCCATCCTATCTCATTTCCTCTCCAGTCCCTTCATTAATCTAAGGCCACATGTATGACGAGTTTGGAACCAAGCTGGTGGTCACCCGCATCAGGCCAAGCTTCGTGGCCCGGCTTCTGTGGACATCAAACTCGGCTTCGGAAATTCAACCTGAACAGCCTGAACCTGCTCAAACCGAGCAGCAAATTGAACACGTGACGGACGCGCAGGGAGCTTAGATACTTGCGAAGTGATGAAAAGAGTAGAGGACTGTGACCTGAGAAGAATGAGAAGAGGCATTCTCGTTCTGAGGCCTTCTCTTCGCAGCTTGCTCGATGCATTGGATGCTGGCAAACTAGATTCCGAAGGAAAGGCAGTTTCAGAAGCATTGGCGAGCTACAAAACCAAGGCCCTTTGGACCGCAACAAAACCACGCGTGACCACGTGTGCGACTCTTGCGATCACATTGGCAGCGGGGTCTAGCCATTCCCTTGGACTCTAAACAGTGGCCGTGATAAGTGCCATGATTGTATATTATGTGTATATTATGTGCATTAAGATATGCTAACGACGCGTATTATGCCATGCATGTTATGCATGTAAACATATTATATAGTCGTAATATTGTGCGGATTATGGACACAAAAGTTAATTGAAATCGCAGGGACATTATAGGGATTGCAGCTTGTCTTGGGGAGCAAGCGCCATAGAACGACTCAGAGTTTCCAACTTGCGTTGCAATGTATCCTCAATTTTGGGCATCGCTAGTAGGTTGCAGGCCATCGCTATTAGGTTGGAGGCCATCGCTGATTCACTCCGCTCCCGCTCACAGGTGGCTGCCCAAGGCCACTTTAGCTTGGGTGCCAGATGGCTCTTGATCGACGATCCTATTGAACGGGATGCTGTCGTGAATGCCATTCACAGGTACCAGAACACATGGCCCGAGAGCCTGGAGGTGCCAAATGCCATCAAAAGCCCCCAAACTGTTCTCGTCTCATTTTTTGGGATTCTCGTACCTTCTTTATCCTTCATTGATTTCCTTCTGTTTCTGATCTCACTTTTGGTGATTGAGTTCCTTTTTCATTCACAGGCAAAGGGACGGCTGCAGATGTCCCTTCGTGAAGCCCAACTACTCCTTTTGGCCCTTGATGCGTACAAATCGCAGAAGGCGGAATGTTGGAGATCGACGGAGCTTGTTGAACTAGATACTGTAATTAGTAAGTGTATTACAACTGATTGTATTTGTCACAGATGAAATCTGACAAAACTACCGTACATGAACTTTAGTCATGAGCCGCCTTAAGTATTTCTGAATTGATCAATACCTTGCAAAGATTATAATAGACATAGCATGTTGAAACATGTTATTTCAGAGTCATGACATGTCATGACTGTTATTTAACGCTTGATGACGAATCTAGAATAAAGCGATATGCGTTTTGACTGGGTGCTATAGTGCCTCACCGTCGTTCCACAGGAGCGCCAGGACGTGGCACTCCCGGGAAGGACGTGGCACTTACGCCGCTTCTCAGCCAGGGCCTCAGAAGGAAATGCGCTGCCGGCATGTTGTGACTATTGTTTTTACGTCAGGCTTCTGATGTACAAGCCCATCAGAGCTTTTGGAGGAGAACATGTATAAACGCCTTGGCAACAAGTCAAGACTGTTCATGCTGGTAACCACCAATTTCATCATCGGTTCAAGTAGTCCACTATTAGTTTGCTCCAATCGTTCTTGACACGACAAAATAACTCTGGACCATCTTCCACGCTTGGAGTTTCCCAACCTCTTTTTGTCCCATTGGTTTGCTGATGTTTTGGAATGAAGAGGCTTTTTATAGAGATGGGTCTTGTTAGGCCACCCAGATTCCCAGATAAGTCCATGATCGTTCCCAGATGTGTTTCAGTCCCAAAGGCTTGTAGGCCTTTTGGAGAGGTTATATATTCAATTGTTTTATCCGAAGACGACATTAGTGGGATTGTCACACTGAAACGCTGTAGAATGCAGTCAGCATTTGGCAGGAAGCCCTCCATGTATTTCAAGCAGTGGCGTAGAAGCGGCCAGTAGTTTGTGAAAATGATGCGTGATGAGAGACATCTTGGACATGTGATGGAAAGAATGGACAGTCACTGGCGTTCTCAAGCATTGACCTTGGCTTGTTGAATTCAAGCGTCACACGCTCAGAAGGCAATCTTGCAAACCCATGTGTTAATAGTCCAGGCATGAAACTTGAAACGCGGAAAGGTGCTTTGCACTGTCAAGGCCTGTGGACTTTTTCGGCATGACTAAATGACTGGCCTGCCCATCATAGCATTCGCAAATGCGCAGCAAAATACAGCCGAAGCTTCGTCAAGCATTCTCAAGTAGAGGATCGCCTGTTCTGTTGCAACAGCCACCTTTGTGCTGATGCGTTTCTCACCGCCCTTTTCGTGTTCAAAGCCGGCCGGCAACATGTGATTCCCCTCCAGATCTCCAAAGGAGTTTGGGGAATATTCAGAACCAATGCTGAGCGCATTGGCATCAATGCCGTCCCAGGCTGTGGCAAGATCTGGTGAACAAGTTCGGGGGAGCGTGCCAAGCTCCACCAAGGTAGAAGTGGATTGGGACGAATTTGAAGATGAAAGAGATATTTTGTCAAAGCTGCCTTTAGACCAGCTTTTGAAGGAGGTGAGGGTGCCTCCTCCCAAAATAGATCCAGCGCCCCTGCATTTGCTTGATGCAAGCCGCCGGTGCATGTCTCCTCGTCATTTGACCAGATCCTCCGTTCTGGTTCATGTCTACAATCTCAATGAAACCTTTATGCAAGCAAACAGAGTGTTAGCAGTGGCCGGTAGTGGCGCTTTTCATGCCGGTGTGGAAATCTTTGATTGGGAGTGGTCTTATGGCATCTTTGGTGTCAGAAAGACTATTCCAAGGAACCAGACGCGGCACATCTACAAGTGTAGCGTTTTTCTTGGGGATTCAGAAGTGGGCCAGGCGGAATTTGTAGAGCTGTTGAGAGAGTGCTTTCAAGACTTCATGGGTGAACACTATGAGCTCGTGGGGCACAACTGCTGCACTTTTGCACGGGCATTGGTTCGCAAGTTACAGGTTCGAGCCATGCCATCGTGGGTTGACCGGCTAGCACGAGGCTTGAATTTTGGTGCCAAGGCCGCTCGCGTAGCAACACGTCCCATGAAGCAGGCAGCTGCATTAGGCGGCCGCATGTTGCGGATGGGTAGAGGTGCAGGATCAGAATCGGATGATGATGAGGATTTGACAGACCTCCCATCCCCCGTTCTCCAGGACGGCATTCCGGGTCAAATTGCAACCGCAATGCCTCAGCCCTGTGCACAACAGCAACAACAGCCTGGCTTTGCCATTGCGAAGCCTCAGCTGGCTACTGGACCACCACACGTACCGGCAAATGGTGGCGTGCGGGACAACACTGCGGGACCGTTCCCGGCCTCAGCTCCTCATGGTCCCACGCTGCCTTTGCAACAAAAGCATCCTGAGGTGCATGGCTATGTCCAACCCAGACAACCCGCGCCGCAGGTGCAACAAGTAATGGTGCCCCAAGCTGTGCAATTGCCAGCTTCAGGGGCTCCGGCTCCAGTGTATGCAATGCCATCAGGCCCATACATATACATTGCCCCTGGCCAGATGTACCCAGGGAATGCGCACACAGCGGCACCTCAACCAGGCTTCCGATAATTCGAGCCTCAAAGATTGCGAGCTGAGCGAAAATAGCAGATGTATGCAGATATAAGATTTCTTGTAGAGCTTGAGTTCTTCATTGTGCTTGGATCGTTCTGTCTCCTGGAAGTACTTCAACAACTGAATCACAATATTGTGACTTGGAATATGTTGAGTTTGATAAATTGATACACTACAGGGGGTCATCATCTGAAACTGCCCACGTTTCTTGCTGTGCAACTCTTTACAGCTCAATCGCCATGGCCTTTTGGTGGCCTTCGAGGGTGGTGACCTTAGACTATTTTGCCAGTGCACGGGTCTACGTGACGGCAATTCTTGTTAAGGCACTGAAGTGGTCGGCACTGGTATCTTGCTCAGACTGGGATTGCAGAGATGCAGAAGCCTACCTCGGTGTGGTTATATAGTTTGAACATGTTTGAACTCACATTCGTGATTCATGACTTGCTTGCAAAGATTGCAATATACCTTCTATATCCTTTTAGATAGTTGACATTAACTATCACATTATTTAATATACAAAAGTAATAGAACAGAGATGCTTTACCATGCATTACCTGACCTTACTATTACTCAAATATTGACATTACAGTACATAAATCTCAACGGCCTAGCCAACACTTACCACCTGCAGGTGGTGTCCTAGAGTTATTTGACCACATCAAGTCAGAAAAAGCGTTTTGCCAAGTTAGTGTCAAGTTGTTTTCTGCTCTATTCCAGCTTTGCCAACCACAAGAAATCGTTCGATCTCCATTTGCCGCATTTGCCACAGTGGGTGAATGAACCTTGAACCTTGTGCATGATCCATGTTTGGGTAAGCAGGTTCAAAGCCCACCTGGTTTAAAGGCTTTGGTCAGCTATGCGGCTAGGCGACTTCACATCCTCATTAAACTTTTGGAGGGAGTTAAATTGGGGTTCTCAGTTTGGAGGCTGCAATGGGCGCCTGCCATGTTTGAGCCACTAGCGTATCCAATCCCACAAGGATCCCAAGGGGCTTTTGAATGCGGGGGGGTGGGTGCTTGAGAGCTTTGTAATTGTTGTGAGTGCTTGCTTGCTGCTCATGCTTGGAACTGTGCGCGTGAGTCAACATGTTCCGGAGCATTTGGACAACTAGCAACCTGGTGTTTCCTTTCTTGCGGGGGAACTGGAGCAATGCCGAACACAGAATATCCTCTTCAAACAGCGCGGCATGCCTTACATAGAGATCTTTATAGCGGTTTGGGGCAACTGCTCTGACTCAATGAGTTCAGTCAGTTGCCTGGACAAGAAACCTCGGGTGCTGATGTTGCCTGATTCCGCGTTTGAAAGACGAGGTGCCCAATTAATCAGCTGCAGTTCACAGCAAATAGAAGCAACGTGACCACCCACAATTAATACGAAATCTCCATCAAATTTCACAGTTTAAAAAGGACCTCATGTGAAATGTTATAATGTTTGCTTGTTTCATCCCTGTTGCCCGAGGCACTGGCGCGATCTGGCGAACAAGTTCAGGGCAGCTTGCCAAGCTCCAAGGTAGAAGTCGATGGGGACGAATCTGAAGATGAAAGTGACATTTTGGCTCAGTTACCTCCAGATCAGTTGTTTGAGGAGGTGGTGACGACGCCCCCAGAAACAGATCCAGCGCCCCTGCACTTGCTTGATGCAAACCGCAGGCGCATGTCCTCCCGTCATTTGACCAGATCCTCCGTCCTTGTCCATGTCTACAATCTCAATGGACCTTTTATGCGAGCAAACAAACTGCTCGCGGTCACTGGTAATGGTGCTTTTCATGCCGGTGTGGAAATCTTTGATTGGGAATGGTGCTATGGCATCCATGGCGTCAAAAAGACCATTCCAAGGAAACACCCGCGGCACATCTACAAGTGTAGCGTTTTTCTTGGGGATTCAGAAGTGAGCCAGGCGGAATTTGTAGAGCTGTTGAGGGAGTGCTTTCAAGACTTCATGGGTGATCACTATGAGCTCGTGGGGCACAACTGCTGCACTTTTGCACGGGCATTGGTTCGCAAGTTAAAGGTTCAAGCCATGCCATCGTGGGTTGATCGGCTAGCACGAGGCTTGAATTTTGGTGCCAAGGCCGCTCGCGTAGCAACACGTCCCATGAAGCAGGCAGCTGCATTAGGCGGCCGCATGTTGCGGATGGGTAGAGGTGCAGGATCAGAATCGGAGGAGAATGAGAACATGACAGATCTCCCAAGTCATTTTCCCGACCCAGGTCAAATTGAAACTGGAATGCCTCAGCCCTGTGCACAAGAGCAACAACAGCAACCTCCAGCGCTCCCTGCGCAGTCTGGCTTTGCGAAGCCTCAGCCGGCCACTGGACCGCCATACATACTGGCGAATGGTGGTGTGCAGGAGGACAACACTGTGGGGCTATTCCCGGCCTCAGCTCCCCATGGTCCCATGCTGCCTTTGCAACCTGTAAAGTATCCCGAGGCGCATGGCTATGTCCAACAAAGACAACCAGCACCCCAGTTGCAACAGGCGATGGTACCCCCAGTAGTGTATGTGCCAGCTTCAGGCGCTCCAGTGTATGCAACGCCATCAGGCCCATGCATATACATTGCCCCTGGCCAGATGTACCCAGGGAATGCGTACCCAGTGGCACCTAGACAACCAGGCTTCCGATAATTCGAGCCTCAAAGATTGCGAGCTGAGCGAAAATAGCAGATGTATGCATATGTAAGAGTTCTTGTAGAGCTTGAGTTCTTCATTGTGCCTGGATCGTTCTGTCTCTTGGAAGTGCTTCAAGAACTGAATCACAATATTATGATTTGGAATATGTTGAGTTTGATAAACTACAGGGGGATACAGGGGGTCATTTGAAACTTCCCACGTTTCTTGCTGTGCATTTCTTTACAGCTCAATCGCCATGGCGTCTTGGTGGCGTTCGAGGGTGGTGACCTTGGACTGTGCCAGTGCTTGGGTCCACGTGACGGCAATTCTTGTTAAGGCGCTGAAGTGGTCGGCACTGGTAGCTTGCTTAGACTGGCAGCACTCGCTGTATGCGAATTCATCGATAGAACCTTGCCTTGCCCTTTCATGTTTTTCCCTCTCTCTCTCCCCCTCCCCCGCTTTTTTCGTTAACAGTAACGCACAGCTTGCCCCCTGCTTGATTGACCCTATATACTGTACTTACTACCTGCTTTTGCTTCATAGTTGCCAAGGTGCTGAGCACAACTCCACGCATCTGCTTTGCGATGCTGAGACGCAAGCAAGTCGTAAATTGTAACGTACAACACAAGCACTTCATAAATTTGAAATTGGAGCACTTCAAACACAGAAACCGGGAGTTTCATCATTTTCACATATTTTCACTTGTCCAAGGACTCTTTGCACTGCCGATGCTCAATGTCAGCAGGTCTGGGGCAAGGTCTTGAGTCATGAGATGGTCACACAGAGCGAAGCTTGTGCAAGCTGCCTTGCACCCCTGTGCATTTCTATATACATGAATTCGTCCTGGATTTCTGGAGTGAACGCCACTTCTTGCTCCAGGTATGCATTGCCAGCACTGGAGCCACCTGCGGTGAGGCCTTTCATCACGGAAACGCCTCATGGGCGAGCGTTTGCGCTGTCCAAACGGCCTTTCCAAACGGCAGGCCTTCTGCGACACCATGTGCTCAGCTCAGAGTTCCTTGTTGCGCAGCTTGTGGCAGTTGAAACTCGATGTGGTCGAGGTATGGCCGATGTGACTGCTCTGGCAACGCGCGCCATCCCGGGTATGGGATTCGAAGACTGGTAAAGCAACGCTATAGCGATGATTGTTGCACAATGTTGGTTAGTTTGTGCCATGATGCCGCGCTGAATGCTTTTGTGGCGCATTCCATGATTCTATGGCCATGGTCACCTCCTTTTCCGTATTGATTCTTGTTGCGCCAGGCGCTGATGAGAGCAGATACGTACAACTCTTCCTGTGAGGTCTAAGTGTACTTTGAGCTGTTTGCAGTTTGCTATGTCCGCTTCTGAATGTCTTGGAGGACGTTCCGGAGGCGACTTCTCAGGTGGGCTTCGCACGGCCTTGAACCTTACTCTTAGAAGTCTTGTGCTTCTTTTCACCTTAGACTTTCCATGACGTTCTACTTTTATCTATATACTGTATGTTTTGCTCACCTTTGTTGCAACCTTCGCTATGCTCGGCCCAAATGGCAATCATGAGAGGGGGGGGTTTATGTATGATGACACATATATATATATACACACATCAGCTAGATAATAGGTTCAAGATATTCAAGTGCATTTGCAGCCCTTTCAACTGGAGTAGTCGTTGAAACGATAGCTACCAGTATATAGACACAACCGTGCACGATGTCAAAGCACCAGTCAATTTGCACATGTTTGTAGATATGTATATTATCTCTTGGTTTGATAGCTTGATAGCTTCATCTCTGGTGCCCATGATGAACATATGCGAAGTCTCAGATGTTTGGCAGCAACCTCAGTCTATTTGTCGCCGGTTTCGACAAAGCACAGTTTCTCCAAAGGGTGTGCAAGCTTTGGCGCTGGCTGCCGCAGAACAGGACAAGAACATATGTCAATCAGTCAGACATGAGACTTGAGACTGCCCGTTCTTCAGGAGTGGATAGTCACGAACCTGGACTTGGCAAATTAAGGCATCACTTTTCCTGTGCTCACACGTTCCAGGTCACAGCTGGCATCCCAGTCAGTTTGCAGCTGTTGACAAATCTCACCACAAGGCACAACAGCTGGGTTCATTCCGTGTGATTCGATGGATTTTAACAATTACTGTATATGATGTTTAGACCGGGGTCTTTACATTTGCATTATGTTCATGCCAGGATCAAACTTCTTGCCTCAAATTCCACTTGCGAGACTGGCAGCCCGCTGAGATGGGGTTTGAAGCCTGCCACCAATGCACGGTTGCCCTGAGGTGGTCCGTGGATCAGATCTGTTCTTGTGGGCTGCAACCTTCAATGCGTCGAGGACCACAATCATGTTATGTTGTTTCACTATGCTTGCTTGAGCGCCTGTCCTTTGGCAGGCGTTCGACAACACAACGGTGGCATTGCACCCTCTCTCGCATGATTCAGACGCAGCCCGAGAGAAATACTTGAGACGAAGCCCTGGACCTGATGTTGAAACGACCTCGGTTGGCTGCTCCGAGGGCTACCCTACATGCAATGCGCGGAACCTTGAAACCATGCGGAACTATAATCCAACTGAGCGCAGTAGCATGTGGCTGCAGAAGAGTTTCGAAACGCAGCCATGAGGTTTCGGCAGCGGTTTGATTACAAATGTCCGATTGCAACGGACTTTCTAAGTAATTCATGTGAGATCATGATTAGGAGTTCCTCCCACAAAATCTAGAAGGTCAAGAACCCACACAATGTGTGTGTTACCCAAGTAGTTGGCCTGCATGGCATCCCGATTGGATGAGGCATTTGCTGCACATATCCACCTATTTAGCTGTCCTATCCAATGAGTCGCTGAATGGGCAGGATGAGCAACCGGTTTTTGGCAAATTGTGGTTGGAGAAGCTAGGGAAAGGGAATTGGCAATGACCATGGGATGAAGGAGCGGTGAAGCGAAAAGAAGGGAGTGAAGAATTAAAGTCAGGAGACAGGCAGATGAGCAAAATTGATTGGGGGGGCTCCGTGTCCAGGTCAGGCGTTCTAAAATCCAAACATGCACTTTTGAAAAGTGGTCCAGGAGGTTGTTTGAAAGGCGATTGGTAGGTATTGCAGAAAAATAGGGCTGGCGCTGGCGTCTTAATCATCAGCGCATTGCATGCTAAAGTTTTCATGCGAAGTCCAGTTTGACATTTTGTTCGAAGCTTTCAAGTCTCCAAACGCATCGGCACAAGTGTTTGAATGAGCTACACAGAAAAGGTCAGCGTCATCGCAGTCCACACACTCAACGCATCATTGGTGGAGGCGCATGGATGTGCTGTACAGTACGTAGCACTATGTAGCACTGCTGTTTGCCATATCAGGTTGAATTTGACGGCTCGCCAGATTTGCTGTCAGGAGACAGGACTTGGCTTCTAATGGTGAGAATGAAATTGCACTATGCACAGAGCAACCTTTTCCTTTTTGCGGGGGATTGGGTGTCTTCAAATGAATACCTACAGCATGTGACTGCACCTTCAATTTGGGCACTTTCAAGCCCTTCGGCTCGAGCAACATGATCATGCTGAAGGATGCAGGTTCCTTTTTCTTACAGCATGGCCCATGGAGACGAAGTATCGGTGGAGCATTTTCAGACAAAAAGTTAGCCCTGAACATTCGTGTGTCATTCTTTTCGAACATTTTCCATTGATGGAACCTTCTCTTTAATGCGAGCGCCATGGCGACAGCCGGCGCACCTTTGCGGCTGTCAGATCTGACAAATTTCTTCTCGCTTGAGAAAGCAGCTCTTTGAGCATTTCTGGCATCAGTCACAGTCGCATTCGTCCCACCGTGGTTTTCGAAGCCGCTGTGTGGCTTTGGTTGTTGCTTTGCCTCACCTAAAGCACTGAAGCAATCTTTGCCCACAATGTTCACCTTTTGTGATTTGGCCTGAGCATAGAAACAACTCACACAACAAGACCCAATAACACAAGAGCGGCACACCCCAGTGAAGAGCATGTGGGCTGAGAAGGAAAGACTCCGCTGAATGGCACGGATGCAAAATGAGTTCCAGGGCCCCTACGTAAACGATGCTGAAATAACAAGGTCAGATTTCATTAGACTTGTTTTAGCGCTGACACACTGTTTTGGTGGGAGGGTACCTGTTGGAAGCGTTTTTCAGGATCGTATTCGTCCCTCCTAGCAGAACAGAACAGCTGATGTTCAAATACGTAGACTGAGACACTGATGCGCACACATTTGAGAGACACAGGATTATATACTATATAGTATATATATATATACAAATATGGCAGACGCTACAACTGGATGTGAAATGATAGGAGGCAAACGTGATCCGATGTCCAGGAGCCTACAGTGTTGCCCTATACAAGGTTTTTGGATGTTTTTGGAAAGCTGTTGAGCCCTTATTGAGCGGGAGCCATCGGACACGCAAGTCCTGAACTTACAGTAAGGCACGCGCAATCCTTGTTAGCGATGTGAAGCTGGATGATACCTTGTGTTTGTGCCTGGGCGCATGACCTTTGATAAAGAGTATCATTTGCCCTCATCAAGCTTGAATGAGGACAACCTTTGAATCAACTATTTTTGTTGCTTCAGGTGGACTTTTCTGATGCAGAATTTCCGACGGCCAACACATCACCAAGTTGAGATTGTACCCTGGATTTATGCATATCAGCAGGGCCGAAGCATTTTGAAGGAACTCTAGACCTCAAAAAACACCCAGGATTTGTATGTGACTGGTATTCAAGACAGCGCAGCTGCAGTGCGCTTGGCACGGCACATTAGCGACTCCGTGCGAGAGGCGGTGAAAGTTAGTGGGCGGAGTGGCCTAGCAGCATGGTGCTTCACCGTTTTGACCTTTGTGCATCAGACCATGACCTGTAAAGAAGCTCCGTTTACATAAGCTTCCGTGCCACGAGGCCTGTGTAACCTGAGCTTTCGTGCACTTGCTTCACGTCGTCCAGCTCGAAATGCACCACGCCATGAGATGGATACTTATGCGCCATACCGGGTGCTTTGGCTGCAGCGTGTGCGGGCCACTGTTGTTGCAAAGCGAGGAAGTAGGATCCAAGCCGAGAGTCCTGCACTGTATTTGTGTGTTTCTTCCAAGGATGGTTCGTTGGGATTTCCTCCCGCAGATGAGCAGCTGCTCTTCTGGGAGGACTTACCAAAAGAGGTGAGGAGGATCGAGGAAGACCTTCGTTCTGAAGTGGGGCTCGTTGGGGATCGGTAGGGGGTCGGGGGTCAAGTTGGCCTGGTGCTCCACAACATCAAAAACTGTCAATGACACCCACTGCCGCTGTGTTGGGAGGCTCGATCCGTGGACTTTGTTGGCGTCATTGCTCAGTTCTTCAATTTTGAGGTAAGGGATGGACTGACTGTTCTTCTTGAAGCTTTGCGGAAAAGGTAATGGAAAGGTAGCTCAAAAACTTGAAGAAGCTGTATGTAAGGAAGCAGAGGAAACTTGACTTCTTCAAGGAACTCCTGCCTGGCAGACGCTTCCTTGAGTAAGAAACGGTCATTCATTTTGAGATCTTCAGGTAGTGAATGACAAAGGCGAGATGAGCCCCACAGCTGAACTTCTCAACTGATTAAATTCTCGACATATTTTAAGGCTTGTAAGGATCATGGACCAATGGATCGCGTAAATGATCGGAATTCTGAGGTGAGGACATACTGGACTTCATTGTGCCCAATCGCGGGGGAGTTCTGGCATTCCAAAGTGGCTTCAACACCCAGGTGCCAAGCAATGTGGAAGAAGCTTTGTGGCAAACACTTTCACGGAAGGCCGGTGGTGGAGAATGCTTCAGTGCCACAAAACCTCAATGTGCCGGCGCAGTCGGTGTCAGGTTCAGAAAGCTGGCGCCAAGATGGTGTTCATCAGCAACCGCTTCAGCTTCGACAAGGCCTCAGGCAGACCTGGCAACGCGCCGCCAGACGCAAGCTTCTTGAAGACGCTGCTCCAATGCGATGCAAAGCTTTGGACCCTTGTCTTTGACAATTCCTGCATCATGAAGTTGATACAGTGGCTGGTGTTTGCCATTGTCTTGTGGTGTGCAGACGGTTACAGTCAATTTATGCAACGAGTGCATCGCTACTAGTAACAAGGGCATCGCTATTAGTAGCTTATTTGATCTTAATTGCCCCTAGTAACAAGAAGCTACTAGGAACAAGTGCCACGCTTCTAGTAACAGGTGCCTTACTAGTAGTAACTAGTAACAAGAAGCTACTAGCAACAAAACAGTTAACCTTTGCTATTACTTTTGGGACGATTGTTTCGGATCTTCAGGAGCCACCTAAGAGATGCTGGGCTGAAAGAGTCGACTAGATTTGCCGTTGATCAAATGGCCAAGTGGCTAACTGCCACTGAGATGCCAGGCAGACTTCCGCGGACATGACTTGAGTCTCCTGACACCTTGGGTGTTTGTATCTTACGTTTGGCCATGTTTTGCTAGTATCACCGGTCAGGTGGGGACTATTCCAAGAATGAGCTTGGATCTGGCCTTGCTGGCATCAAAGCAAAGTACGAGATTTGCGAAGGATCGCCGCAGCAAGCAGCAACCCAAGCCTTCTCACATTCTTCAAACAAATCGCTGTTGCAATGTCATGATAGAAAGTACCCCAGGTCATTTTGGGCACTTCTGTTCAGCACCAAGCCAAGGTCAGCGAAGGCTTGCTAAAGCGATTTCTCAAATCGCACGCAGATGAAGCGCAGGCACGAATCATTTGCTTTTGAGCCTCATTTCCTCAAGGAATCCCAAAAAGCATTTCACCCCTTGTGCTCAAAGATTATTTGTGCATATGTGTGCTGTGTTTTGGGGGAGTTCCCTTGCTGTGCGGGCAACTTCGCTTGCACCAGACAGAGAAGGGACCCCTGGCCGACATGCCAGGACCAGAATGCGGTGCTTGCAGCTTGCCGTTGCTCGGCACATTATCAGATGCTCTTCCGGTTTGCATATTCCGATCACAAGATTTGGATTAGAATCGCCAACAGGAGATCTCCAAATGGTGGTGAGTACGGCTTGCGGACCAGAGGTGGCAGACCCCCGGCCTGAAGATCCTGAAGAATGAGTTGCATACTGGTTTCGCGTTGCCAGCGCAGTATTGTTCAAAGTTGCATTGGGCAGATGTGACATGAATTGCTACTTGAGGGCTCAAGGTAGGTTGCACATTGCTTAGCAGACTGGCAGCTCTAAACTTATCAGTTCACTATACAAAAATATATATATATATATTAGGTCCAAAAGCGTGGCAATAGATCACCTGGCCCTACAGTACCAGCTGATGCTTTCAAAGTCGCCCTGGATGGTGATAAACAGGCATGCAATTCAAAAGGCTTCGCGCAGGGCAGGAATGGAGATCTCGTAGAAACTTAGCAGACGTAGAGTCGCGTGATGAGAGCATGGACGGACATCCGCAGGCTTAAGGCGCCGCAATGGATGTTTGCTATGCTCTTCAGGCTTGTGACGCTCGTGAAGTTTAGCACTTCTGAGTTTATTGAGGATTTCCATAAGGAGACTGTGACACCTTCAATCTACATACTCTATGGAGCATCTCCCTCCCTTGAAGAGCGACCCCTTGTCAGAGTTCACGCCAAGAAAGATGTGTGGCTTGATGTGGTGGCTTTTGACTTTCAGAAAGCCACGGAGGCAGTGCGTTTATGGCAGCACATACCAAACATGCCAAAATTGCCGAACTCGGCCGTTAAGATTTACGTTCATCAAGTGCCGCATTGCGCTGGTGAAGAGCTGCTACATGTTTTTACATCAAAGTCTGAAGGCTTTGGGTGGGACCGGGCTGTCCAGCTGCATGCCTTGCACATTCGGTCGGTGCACAATGCTATCATGTCTTCACAAGCTCTCGTTCAAAGCCCTGAAGAAGCCACCGTATTTTATATACCAGCGTTTTTCAGTCTGTTGGTGGAACAGTTCATTGACTCAGACATGTCAAGCCTCAATTCTTTGAATTGTATCTCAGACGCCTGGAACTCAATTCCACATGAGTTTTTCCACCGCAACGCGGGTTACGATCATTTCATTGTTGCTGGGACCTGCTTTCCATACTCCGTTTGTGATGCAACTGAGTGTGATGTCACCGCCTACCACCCTTTTGCCAAGAATGTGATGGTGTTGGTTGGCGGTGTTCGTGACAGCGTGCATTCACACCCTGACTTTGCATTCACACAAGGTGCGGGCTTTCACCGCTTCGGCCAAATTTTTGTGCCCTTTCCCGTGACTTTGGACTGCCATCGTGTTTTAACTCTGGCAGATCCACTGAGACGACGTGAAACTGTAGTCTCCTTTGTTGGCACTGAGAATTCCAGGGTGCGGAGCATTTTTCGTGTGCTGCAGGAAGATCTGCGAGCAACGCAGCGGAACCGCTCTGAGTTCTATATAAAAGTTTTGCAAGATGTTGAAGGGGAAGATGGCGAAGCAACACGGAAGGCCACATTGGATGCTGGTGGCAGTCGGCCTATAGATGAATTGTATGCAGATTCCGAGTTTTGCCTCGTTCTTCCTGGACATGTTTATGATCTTGGTCGGCGTGGTTTTGATGCGATGGCACGCGCGTGCATTCCCGTTGTCGTGTCGATGGCTCCCATGTTTGTGGCCGTGCCCTTTGCAGGGCAAATCCCTTGGCAGGACTTCGCCATTTTCACTTCCGTGCGGGATGTGCATGATGCTGCAAATATCCTGGAGTCCTTGCTGCAGGCCACGCAACACGAAGAAGGCAGAGCTGCGATTCGAAGCAGACGCTCCAGGATGCTTCAATATCTTCCACAGCTGTTCCTGCCTCCACTTGAAAATTGCCTCGCAGGAACACCGACTGCCTTAGATGGAATTCTGCAGGAACTGGCCATGCGGCATGTTGCGTGGTCCACCATAGCAACCGCACGGTCACCTGGTTGGGCCTCACCTGGAGAAGTCGCAGTGTAAAAAGATGTGAGCACCAGGCAAAGGTCATTGGTCGAAGTGTTGAGAGCAAGGTGTTCCAGTGTTTCTCGTAATGTTCGATACAATTACCATCAATTACCACCCCTTCCGTTTGCCATAATGCGATCAAAGGACTCAGACATATCCCATAGGTTGTGATAGGCCATAAGTCCATAAGTATTGTTTTGTTTTATGTATAGTTTTTCGCATTACAACAGAAAGCCATCTAGTAGCTGTTGATAGGGAGATTGCCCTTTGTCCGAAATTGTCTCTGGGGATACTCCTTGTATGTCCTTGTTAATGCTATCATACATGTTGCATCTGCATCAAGAAAGCACAGTGTATGTTGTTCGGAACCTGAAAATCAACACTTCTTGGAATAAGGGGACATCGTAGGGTCTCAGCAAACCTAACATAGATGTTATTTGTTATATATATATACTTATTACACATATATATATATATACTTATTACACATATATATATAATATTAAAAATGTTGCTGGATATTTAGTTGAAACGCGGATAGCAAAATGCATTTGCATTCCCAAGCAAAGTGCGGGTTGCGGTTTCAACCTTCACCAGCTGTACGCACGATCCTGATGCATGCACTGCCCAGGACTATTTGGGCCGCGCAGTGGCAAATCTTGACAGCAGGCTGCACATAGGCTGCCTTTTGAACGAGTAACTTCAAGTTGCTTGCAGTTCTCACGTTTTATTCTGTCCCGGCCTGCTTGAGGAAAAATTTGGTCAGACCCTAGAATGCACCGATGGGCAGCACTTCGCTGTTCTGATGCAGACGGAGGCCTGGTGTCAGAGCTGCGCTTTGGCGCCTGGTGACAGAGATCGAATGTGCGGAGAACTGCCTTTTTGGATTAACTAGGGGCAAGGACGCTACTAGTAGCTCCTGGCCTTACTACTAGTAACAAGATGTAACAAGAAGCTACTATAGTAACAAAGGGCATCGCTACTAGTAACAAAGGGCATCGCTACTAGTAACAAAGGGCGGGGTGCTTTCAGCCCGACAAAGATGAGCGTTGTAGCAGTGCAGGTGGCCCTGTTGTATCCGTGCAAGTTGCTTTGTGATGGTCCTATGCAGCCGCACTTCCTGGTAACTCGGCCGAAGACTATGACCGAACTCACAGATGGCGATGTTTACATCGGTTTTGTTTGGCATGACAGATGGTGATGTTTAGAACTTGTAAGAAGCTACATGGGACCTATGAGTTGTGCCAACAGGAAGATGCTGGCTCTGAATGTGTCTCGCCCCTTGGCTCGGGAAGCCGATATGAAGAGCTGACAGCTGACTTGGACTGACTGTCCCAGTGTTTGATAGGTGGGCGGCGCGAGGGGTCAATGTTCCCCAAGCCTTGGGATGGTTGGCCTCTTGGATGCGATTTGCTCATTGAATGCCAACCCAGCTACAGCTTGCTCATGCTTTTTCATGCTTTTTCGGTGTTCCAGCCATGTCAGGAAAACGCTGTTTCACTTGAAATGTGCCCGTGAACGCGGCAAAATATGGCGATGTGGCTCAGCAACGTGCGTGGACAAGGGAAGAATGGTCAAGGACAACTTTTGGTTCTCCCATTTTTGGATGTGCAGGATCCTGTTGGGCAGCGAAGTTCTTTGCGGAGCAAATTGTCAGCAAGCAGAGCTCACAGCCCTAAGGCTCTTTGCTTCGGAGAGTGTCGTTCTGAGAATGTTTATTTACTGATTCAGATTTGCTCACTCACCAGCTTTGCCAGGGGCGTGGCGACTGGAGGAAATGCAATTGAGCCCACTTCTGATAGCAGGAGTGAAAGACTTGATTTTGTTCGTTCAATTTGTGTTTGGCGTTCGGGGAAAGCGCTTGCAAGGCGTTTCAAGATGTACATCGATCCGCCGTTTGGACAAGGAAGGGTCAGATGCCGGAGAGTTCTATCACATCTTTAGGTCCTTGTTTTAGACACATGCAGCTTTCTGATAGAAGAATGACACCAGCGGATGTAGGTCACCCTCAATCAATGGGCGTTCATGGGCCATTGGATGTTTGGGGCCCATAGTTGAACTAGTGGTGATCCACTGGCAAGTACATTGGCAATCCTCCACTTCATTGCATATAAAGGACGCACATTCAGAATGTAGAATGAATTTCCTTGGCTTCCGGGTGACCTAATATCTGGTCTACAAGCCTCCATTCATGGTGGTTTTCTTCAATCGTTCCTACCCAGCACCGAATGTTCTCGGGCCCTCAATTTTGGTTGCTCAAGCGATGATCAATCATGACAAGGGGCGCAGTTGTTGAACGGATTGGATGCAGACAGCGCCGCGAGTGCTTTCAAAATCTTCCAGCAGCCCATCATTGACGCAGCAGTCTTGGTCGCCCAAACCAGATTCCTTAATGGGCACGGTCCGTGCGTGTCCAGGAGGATGGTCCCGTGAATGGCCGAAGAGAAATGTTGTGGTCAGAAGATGTGAACAGACTGCCTGGCCACCACATACACATACTGCTCAATTGAATCTTGCTCCGCTATCCACGAGAGAAACCCAATCAGAGACACCTAAGACTTCCGAATCGGGTGTGCGGGAGATCATGGCTTTTACAGCATCCCGTGTGGTGAGTGGATTTGGTGGACGACCAGGCACCGGACAACGAGTCAGATGCTTCGAAGATCGGCTGCTCGTGACTCATACGTCTGGGGTGCTCACACTTCCATTCCGGCAAATCACTCACGCAGAACTGGATGGCAGATGTTTTTCCGTTAAATTGCATTTGGGCATGCTTGATGGATTTGGACCAGCCTATCCACCTGGCTTACTGAGAATCGAACTGCAAAATGCAGCTGATTTGGCCTTGTTGCGACAGGCAGTTTGGCCCCTGTTAATGCGAGCTGTTCTTCAGCCCCGTGAAAACCAATCAGTCAGATGTGGGAGTCTTTCCCGTGGACCTTCACTGGTTTGGTCCCATGCCTGATGCATTTCGGGTAAAAGACAAGGCCTGCCGCTGCTTCATTCTGGCATGTTTGGACTTGATTGGACCAGCAACTCCGTGCAAAGGCCAAAACTCGGGGTTGGAGGGGGTTGGTTTTGACAAGATGTTCAACAACTTGATCAGATTGATCCGTAGATGAAGCCAAGTTTGTCGAGGACAGCTGCCTGCTTTCTTGGCCTTTGCAGTCTCCTGGGTCACCTGGATTGAATGATCAGCATCAAGAGAATCTGAAGAGCAAGTTCTTGGGAACTGGCATGCGTTAGCGTTTCAGGCAATTCTTCTGAGGTCTCTAAAAGTCGTGCTCGAACTGCGGAAGAACTCTACTCTGCACTTCCCCAGGCAAGCTAACCTGACACCTTTGCACTGGGTTTGGTTTGGCTTTGGGGGTTGAGAAAACGAAACCCTGTGCCTAGATTCCAGGATGGGGTGCAGGTGTGCTTGGAAATCAACGGAGGCAATGACCCATATTGACCAATGTGGAGAGTATTTGAGAGTCACCTTCATGCGGAGGCAGCTTCATACAAGCAGGACGCCTTACCTTTACAGCGCCACCCGAGATGCCTGTGGTGATCTGAGGTCATTCTTTCAAGCACGAGACGTGGCCTTTTCTTATGCTCGTGAAGTCTGGTCCAACGGCCTAGGTTGCATGTTTAAGTCCCACCAGCACAGTGATTGGAGCAGCATCTCCGGTGGTAGTTCCTTGGCGGTGCTTTGTGCTCAATTTCCATAGATTTCCCTGTTTCATCATGTGCCCCACTATTGACAACAAGATGCACTTATCAATGTCCTGAATACTAGGTGACATTCAGGCTTCCAGCATTGCCGGTGCCTCAGACTGGCCACGTGTGACTAGATCAGAGGCCACTACGGTGGCCATGTCATGTTGCACTATAAACATGTTATTTAAAAAAAAAACACCCACTATTGGAGCGGCAGTGTATGCGCCATGGCCACTATGGTTTCACGTGAGTCTTGCAGCTTGAGGCCAGATGTCAGAGTTGAGGCAACAAGGCCTACAAAGCGAAGCTCAACTTGGAACTGCCTTTAAAGAGAGACTCCTGTCCCAGGCTGACTTTGCATTTCAACTTGAGCCAACTTGAACCTCTTCAAGCAGATGGAGCACAGCTAGAAGCGCGATGGAGGCTCACTGCTGTTTGTCGTTGTGCACGAACCAACCAAGGATCCTTTGCTCTTGACATCTCTTTGCTTTGTCAGGTCTGGTGATGAATCCCAGGCTCTGTGTGGCAGGTGCTGATTTGCATGCTGCTTGTCACTGCTTGTCTCATGACCCTTCGCTTCCGCTCCAGGCTTTTCCGCGAACTCTGGGCCAATGGCAGTGGCTTTCCCACTCCTAGGCCACAGTTGCTGACCACTGCACAAATCGACTTTTTTCGGTGCGTGCATTCTGGCAGGGGCTGCAGCTGCTTCAATTCCAGCGTGGCTTTGTTTGCAGACAGTTCGAACATGATTGGTCGCAAGTCCCACCACAGGTGTGTCGTTCATGAGTAGTGAATGTCACTATTTTTCTGAAACATGGAACATGGGGAGAGGGCATGCATTTGACACATGCCTTTTCTATCGTTTTCTGCATGCAATGATATATGCATAATTATATAGTCATCTTATATATATATGTAGTTATTTGTTTATACACAGGTGGGTGAGCAAAACGATTATGCACATGTGTGAAACGGACATATACAGTAGTTGTTGATTCAGACCGTCACACTGGCAGTAGTGGGTGTGCTCCCGTGTCTTTCCTGCATCTGACGAGCTTCAGGCCACAATGCGAATGCAAATGCTTTGGTCTCAGTCCAGCACATGTCAGGTAGTTGCAGCCACACGCCCCACAGGTTCCGGTTTTACACTATCATGTGCAAGTTGCAGCAGAAAAATGGCCCCCCATTAGCTCCAGATAGGACCAGACTGCTGTACCAGTGGCTTTCGCTTCATTCAATCTCCACTGCGCAACAAAAACAAAACACCTAGGCATTTTGATGCTGGGAGCGCACCAGACGAGCAAAACATCTACCACATTGTTCTGACAGCCTGGGGCATACCCTCGCTCCGCATTTGTGCTGGTACGGGTGAGCTGACCGTCAACAGGTTGTTGCAGGAACAAGCTTGGACCAAGCTGCTCTTCAACTTTGGCCGGAGCCACAATATTGATCAACATTGTATGCACAGGTGTTCTTATGTTTGTTTAAAACTATGGATTTAGCGCCCAGGTTTGCGGGATTCAACCCATATTTCCTCTATGCTTCTGGAAATCCAGATCTCAGCCGGTCCAGCGCCTGGCCCTTTGAAATGGCTTCGCCCTTTGCTGCAGCATGATTGAAAGGCCATTTCAAGCTGGAGCAGGACCCGGTGACCCACACCTTTCGGATGTTCAGGTGCTTGGAATCCAAGCATCACGTACGAATTGTGTCATATCTTTATCATCTGAGAGAATCTAGGTGCTTGGAGGCTCAAACGGCCTGCTCCCATTGGAAAGTGCATTTGCCTCAGCATTGCTGCCGGACAATTATATGAGCCGCTACCAAAAAGCATGTGCGGGAAACCTGGGTCCCTTGCAGGGGGATCTGCAGTTGCAAATTGCCGGAGTGACTTAGCTCAATGATCGGTTAGATCGATCATCATTGGATTCAATCTTTGACAGTCAAACAAATTGGAACATATCCGGCTTGCTAATTGCCACAATTTGCCGGGCATGTCGCATTCTCAGTGCTTTCACTTTAGGAGAATGACCGGCCAATTTCTGGTGGAGCACAGTTTCGCATGTTTCTCAGCAACTTAGCTGCAGCAAAGGCAGAACGAACATCGATGGATGGATCTTGGGCGTATGTGAATGCTTAGACTTACAGGCAACGCATGGGCATGGTCACACATATTAATTGATTACAATATACAAAGCTAGGAAGTATATAATGCCACAGATTATTACAGAGCACTACTGTAGACTTTAGATAATGACTATGACACACCCTGAAGTCAACCTGTACCCGGTGCACTTGCTTCAGGTCCAATCACTGCTTGGGCCACATCTGGCAGCTGTGAATCAACAATGCACCTCAACTCCAGCCAACGGCGAGCTTTGTGCAAGGTGAGGTGGCTGGGATGTTGCAAAGTGAGAAGGTATCGCAACTTCTCTTGTTCAGCTTCAAGGCTTCAAGCACGTTCGATAGTGATGTGCCACGTCATTGGTCGAGTCGTCGAGGAAAGAAATACAAGCAAAATCGTTGAAGGTGCTTTTCTCAATAAGTCCTCCTCTCATTCAGGTAAACACCACGCACAGTTGCCCGGATAAGCAGACTGAAGACTGTTGCCAGGTACTGGCGGTGGTGCCTTCAATGGGGTTCTACAGCATGCTTGAGTTCGAACTGCCAGTCGACCTTGGGCAAATATCGTGGGAGTCAAGGCCAGCAGCCAGATATGTCACATGCTGTTGGACTGTCCATCTTGGAGTTTGGCAGGTTAGAACTGGGTATCGGTGTGGAGCTGCCTGCAGGACCACAGTGTGGGGCACCTGCATGCAGTAGTTGTGCACCATCCATAGTGTCAGGCAGCTTCTTCGCAGAGCGTCTTGCTCTCGAAGTCAGCCAGCCAGACTTCTCCAAGCCTCATTATGTGGCATGGCGAGCAGACAATGAAGCGCGGCTGTGGGCCATTCAGGGGCTTTGCTGTTGTTTCTAGCTTATGCTGAGGTTGAGTCTTCGAATTTTCTGTCATGGCCCGGCTCTTGGCAGTTGAAAAGTCACACTCAGTTGATGCACAGTGATGCAAACTAACGTGTTTGGTTAGGCTCCCGGATTCTTCTGCAACCGCGCAGATAGTCACGGAGCAAAACACTGGAAATCTGGCACCGTTCAGTGGCATCGTTGCACTCAGCGCGGTCTTCGTGTGTGTATGTGCAGCGCACAGACATCAAATCGCGCAAAGCACTGACTAGTACATGCTCTTCAGGTAAAGCGCAGAATCAGCTCTACATTCACCTGGCTTTGGCGGCAACACTTCGGTCAGCTTTGGAAGCTCCTGGAGGTGGGGAAGGGTCAACTGTTGGCGCAAGCCGAGCTTACATAGCAGCACAAGAGACACCGCTGATCGGGTGGTTCGGCGCACCTCCAATGATGTAAAATGTAAAAGTTTCTCGTTGGTGCACGCAGTAGTCGGGCAAGGTGGAAACATATTGGTTACAGTATGTTACAGTAGTGTTTGTGTTAAAGACACGAAACACCAACTCCAACAAAGAACACAACGAAGCAATATGTTCCTAGCATATATCATATATCATACCATGCAATCACGTCATGCACCAAGTCATCTTTTTGAAACTGATGGCAAGATATGGCAAGTGCTATGGTACCGACGACAAGTTCTATGAAACCGATGACAAGTCTATGATGCGATGACGGCATAACCACCCACACTCCATGCCCCGATCAGATGCTTTGCGCACAGCACACAACCCCACCTGCAGACAACGGACCGATGCCCATGCCCAGACATCTGATGCCCATGGGCGCCGAACCCGAACCATCCGATCGGACCCAGGGCGACAAAAAACGCGACGAGGGCGAAGGACACAGAACGATTAACTTGAAAGCCTTCATGCATTCAAACAACCGGGTTGTAGATGGTTGTAGTATGACTTGTCTCACAGAGACAGACGTGAAAAAGTTACATATGCTGGTATTTTGACAGGGGCTGAGACAGATGCACTAACAACGACAGTAGACACTTTTTGCATCTTTTTGGCATCGATCGGCGGGAAAGTGGATGCCCTGGGCAGCCTGGGCAGGGGCGACTTTCTCGGTGATGGCGCCTGCGGGCTACTCTTTGCTTGGAGCAGAGTCTTCAAGCAGAATGTTGGACGACTTCAGGCATGTCATCGCATTTTGAATGCAAAGATATGGCAATATTTACACTTGAAATCTTTAGCTGAAGTGGCGCAGGTGGTCCTGCACAGGCGTTGGGTGAGCGGTGCAACGTGCTTGGTTTGTGGAAGATTCGTTTGAAGGTCGCCAGTGCACCTATACCTTGCCACCATTTGCAGCATTGTGGGCAGGATCTGCCGCTGGAAACTAAATCGCATGCTTGGAATTTGCAGAAGCACTGCTTAAGCACCCTTTTCATATCGTTTGATGAAACAGACAAGGCCATATTCAGGCTGAATGTCATCAACCCTGCATGGGCGTTGCAGCGCTGTGACTCGCAGAACGCTTTGGACCTAGATTTGTCCATGCGTTCCTTTCTTGTCTCTACTTGTGTTGGGAAGTGATGCATAGTGACGCCACGTATGCTGGCTTCGTTGCGGTTGTCTATCGAGCTCTATTTCTTGGGAGTCCATGTCTTTGCGCCAGCACGCAGGGCGCTGCTGTGAGGTGTCTCTTCATTCTCTCTCCTATTGGACTACGCTTGTTTTGTTGTCCCCCTAGACCTAGAGAATATTAGAGAATACATGTCACATGTCTATATTACTTCATATTGTATGCACGAGCAATTACGAGCATATACGGGTTGCAAAAATGAATCTGCTTAAGGCTTAAGGACCAGGACATGTAGGAGGCAGAAGGAAAACTCGGCTACGCGAGTGGAGGGGAGAATTGCTTTGGTGACCACTGATGGTTTGCACAAGTCTATGAATATCTAAATTTGTTGAATAGATTGGCTCCTTTGGGCTATAAGGATTATACGGTTACGGCATATTATACATGTGTATTGTTGTTGCAATGCAGAGTCCGGCTCCATTCAATACTTGTTACTTGAATATACTTGATATGTGTTCCATTGATCAAATTCTTCGCTGTTTTTGACGAGTCAGTTGGGATGGGGGGGGCGGTTTGGGCAACAGCCGTGGAAAAGCGCATTCAATTCGCAATGCATTGCGATCACCCACCTGTTCGTCGTTGGCTAGCGATGAAATCAAGCGTCGCGACACTGTGAGTGTCACGAAGGTTTGGAGGCTGTCAATGTGGGCCAGTGGTTATCATTCGGCAAGCATGGAGACTGTCATCGCCTTGGCTTACCTCTTTGCTCTAGGAGACAGCTACCAGAGATTTGACCTGGCACTTCCAAGGAATACGACTTCAAAGGCTTTGCAGCTTGGCAGAGAGAAGACGCTGCTCGAATTTCTGCCGTTTGCTGAATTCTGAGGATTGTGTGGGCCAAGGACTGCCCCGTTCCCCAGGCAGACACTTTGTTGATGTTGAGTTGCTTCCAGGTGTGACTCTGCTGGGCAGATTGAGCACTCACATTTACCCGACCCGTGCCTGGCCTGGCTTGTATGTGGCCAAAAGCAGTGCATCAACACTGCCTCTTCCCCAGTGTGTATGAAGCTAAGGCCTCACCATTTCACCTGCAGTGGGTGACCGTGTCATCAACACTTTGCAGGTCCGGGCCTAGCCGAGAAGCACAAGTGAGACCAGTGTTAATCCGAAAGTCAGAATGTCAGAATGTCTCATTGTTAATCTGCATTTCTCAGGCACAATGACAATTGGTGCGCGTTTGGAACGATGCATGATGTGCGACTATCCATGTAGGTGTTCTTCACTACAGAGCAGGCCGTGGAAGCTCCAGCCAAGTGCCTGGGCAGCAAGAAGTTCTGAATCTTGGCGAGCTTTAGTAGGTAGTCAATGGCAGTTACATCTGAGACACTCAGGTGAGAGCACATTTTGGCTAAAGCCTGTGCTATATCATGTACTAACATGCTTGAGAAGTAATAAGTCCGTGCGCACCAGCTCATGCAAGCTTACATTCGTAATTCCATGTGATCAAGCCAGAGTTTCAGTTGGTACGGTATCGTTGATGCTGGCATCAGACATGGAAGATACAGTAACACCTATACTGTATATGTGTACATGTATATAACTCTAAACAGGTTTTGTGAAGTCTTTTGCAAGAATTCGCAACGAGTCAAGTGCATCCATTCCTTGAATGCTGTGGGCACATCAGCAGAAGCCGAACGAGAAACTGAGAGTATCAAAATTCAACCCTACCAGAAACATATATATATACTTTGTGGTTACGAACAGTAACAGCTGGAACCACATACTGCTGGGTGAACTGGGTGAACTTAGGCTGAAGTTGGAAGCACATCAAGACTTTGAGCTTTTGGCAGGGTCTTGCTCAGTGCCTTGGCAGATATTTGGTTTTGAACATTGTGCTGGCTCACCCATGGCCACCCATGGCCGATGAAAGGAATGTTGTGAAGATGACACATCACAGATGCCCCTGTCTCTCAGGACCTACCTGCTGCATACTATGCTGCCGAATCACAGCTGCAGAAACAACTACTCCTACTTCACAACAAGAGAAATCGGGCTTCGTCGGGCTTGACCGCTTACAGTTTGACTAGGATGGTCTGGGGACCAGCACTTGGAGGCTACCCAACATTACGAGCTGCCAAGCACATGACAGGCCACTCAGCTTCATGTTGGGTTTTTGTTTGTTGCTTTGGCTCGTTTTGCGGAGCCAAAAAAGAGGTATGCTCTTGCCTCAACCGACCATGCACTCAGAGCTGGCCAGCCTTACGGCTTCCAGATTCAGGCGTGCCGTTGCCACCGCTTTTTCAAGTTCTCCATAAGCACGGTGCTTTCTCCTGTTGAGGTTTTGAATCCGCAGCACTACAACTCTTCTCAACGACAGTTTTGGGCCCCTTGGCCCCAACGACCGTGTTGCCCTTGTTGCCCTTGTTTTGCCGATTTGAGTGACAGTCTGTTGGGCTTAGGGGCCTAGCGGTGTGGCTTGTTGGGTAAGGCCCTGACATCGTTCACTGACATTGGGGAGGAGGTGGACAAAGCATCCAGCCACTTCCTGGCATGTGTGTTCAATTGGTCACTTGGTCCCTTGCATTCTGTGGCCACTCAGGTGGGCTTGCAACGGGACTCTACCAGGAGCAGATGAGAGCACTTGGCTTAGCTTAGAGATGTTCTTTGTAATTTGCCTAGCTGAGAAGTTTTAGGTTGTGAACATTGATGAAGATGATGGCCTCGGAAGTGCATTGGGCCTGCAGGAGTGGTCAATGTGTTGGTGTTTTTTGTTTTGCCCATCCAAATTGAAAATCTAATTAGGCTGGATTGTCAACATTTATAAACCACTATGGATGCAGTTGAATCTCCAGGTGATCGACGGCTTTCCTTTTGCGGCGCATCATGCTTAGCGAATTCCCAGCACCACTCAGACACTGTTTTGGTTTGGCTTGTCATGGCTGATCAATTCTCATGCAGCTTCGATATAGAAACTCAGGTTTGGACAGGAGGCACAAGTTTGGTTCTCAGAAGTCCATGGCACTAGAATTAGCACGTTCTCCAAGACCATGCAAAAACCAATCATACTCGCGATATCTCAGGATTCGCGTTTGCTTGACCATAATTTTGTTGTCAAGAGTTGGACCCTGAAATGAGTCCCATGTCGTGCTTAAGGTTGTTATGTTGCTCAGATCTTCAGTAGCCAGGCTGCATTCAAGTGTTTGTACTGATGATTTCTGGGTGATACATAGAACTGTACATCATATGTGTATATATATATATATACACATGTATATTGATATACGTTGATGATCTACGATTATGTTATAGATAGTGGACTCATGTTTTGTGGCTTCGCACTGCCAATTCCGGCGGCTCAAGGGCCTGACCTTGGCTTCGGGTGTAGGATGTAGGCAAAGGCGGCGTAGATATGAGCGACACCAAATGGGGCTTTGCCAAAGACTATGCTCATCGCTCCTTGCCCTTCAAATGGCATCACGCAGGCTACTTGGCTCATCTTGACTCAGCATCCCGTGGCAGAGCAAGGTTTGCTTTGTAGGATTGCAGGATGCCTGATCACTGATTGTTTTTGGAACTTTTTTGGGGTTCCTGACATTCTCAGGCTACACGCTCTACAATCCAAGCCCACTCATCAAGCAGTCTTTCAGACCTTCGTCCATGCCAGCGTATCGGGATGAGTTCAAACCGTTAGACACTGCATACGGCGAGCGGCCCCAATGCTCACGGTGGGCCATGTCCTGCACCGTGGCTGACAGAGCCATTTGTTACAATCTATGGCTTACATTGCTTACATAGTGCACGTTGGACATCTGATCATCTGGATGGTATTCTTATGTATTGTTCTTTGTAGCTTCGCAAAGCCCTTGGAGCATTGCAACAGACTGAGGCTATGGGACTCACCGCAGCCCTCCTTGGGATGAGACATTGCGACTTCCAAGAAATCCATTTGCAGGGAACCAGAAGCACGAGATGGCATACTTGAGAGAGTTTACTCCCTTCACGCCTGCCATGTCTTCCACGAGACTCGGCCCTACTAGTATGTCAAACTGATGGGCCAATGGGTATTGAATAGTATTGTTTCAGGTAATGCATAATATGCATGCATGAACTTATACACCTTTGGGGGCAACAGCCAATACTCATCTACGGTGCAAACAACTCAAGATGGCGGTGGAAGCATCAAACTTGAAATCTTTCGGGCTTCAATCCTCGTTTCTTTGGCTCATTTGTGTTCCACCCAGTCCCCGGCGCCCACGTCGTCCATGTTCTGCTCCATCTGGGAGACCACAAAGTTCAAGGACAAAGAAATGAATTGTTTTGTTCGAGATGAGAGTTGAACACCTTGGAATGATGCAATATGGGAATGTGGAAAACAATGTTGGCACGTTCCGTTTCAAGAATTCTATGCAGGACGCGTCAAACAGCATCTTGGGTGCAATATTTTCCGTGAGTGCGCGGGCGTGCGTTTATGCCAGTGTATGCGTATGTAGTGCACGGATTCTAAGAAATTAAGTGGTGTCAGCTTGCGCTTTACCTGCAGAAAGGTGGACGCTAAGTTCTTTGCCAGATGGGAATCTTGGCGACGAAGTTTGTTCTTCAGAAAGCACAACATGACGCGGGCTTGCAGTTCTTCTCCTTCAGCTTTTCTTGTGCATGTGGGTTACGGACTTATGGCTTGTCCAGATTCAGCTCAGGCGGACTGACTTGCACACCTGAAACTTCTAGAACTATATAGATTCCCCTAGCGTGTTTAGACTTTGCACGCTTCGTGGAAGCAATTTGTGACGCGCATCTGGCGTTGATGCTAAAGTTATATAAGTTGTTGCTCATGTGGACACAGGACTGTCAACAAAGGATGCCAGATTCGCTGTCGTCTCCTTGGCTGAATACACCCAAAGGGGTTGCTGAGATGGAGACATGAACATCAGATGAACCACACTGCTTTTAGAGACCATCCTCAATTCTACCTGCGATTTATGCATCCAAGCGTGGTTCTGCGAAAATGTTTATGTTTTTTTTGCGCAAGTCAGACTAAGGTGGCACTTGCTAGTTTATACTTTTTGTGACCAGGGACTATACCCATCGATTTGACCTGTTACACTGTTCCAGATATTTGGGGGGGCTTGCTTGTGTTGTTTTGCCGCCTGGTTGCAAGAAAGAAGGTGCGTTGCATCTTCTCAAGGACTTCCTTCGCGGGAAGCATATAGCACCGGCTGAGACAAGATTGATTTCAAAGAAACGTGGTAATCGATTCTTCTTTCATCTTCTTTCATAGAGCGAGCCAGAGGCACAAACATAATTGTCTTGTTGCTGGCTGACCCGAAACGTCGTGTGCTCCAAACCACAGCCTCCCTAAGACCGTACAACTTCAGCTGGTGTGCTTCGGTGCTCGGTATGACGCTCACAAGTGTGTCCTTGCTCGCCCGGACAAGCAAAGCTTTTGTCTTGGAGTCTTGCAACTAGTGATAGGTGACAGTGATAGGTATCTCTAGGTTGGCCAAGCCATGTAGCTTCAGCTGCAAGTTGCTCAAAAAGGCTGCATATCTCAGCTCAGCTTGTTGGCAACAGAGCGTTTAGAAGTTCAGAACCACTTTACTCCAACGTGTCTGCTTGTGTGACCCAACGCGCACCTACTCAAACCCATTGACTGGATGAATGAAGGTCCTACGTCCAGCTGCTTTGGCTAAAATTTCCGGAGTAGAGTAGCACAGAGCCATGTGCGACACGAAGTGGGGCTTCAATACAAACTATGGGCACAGAACCCTCCCGTTCAAGTGGCAATCGTCGAATGGCTTCCACTTCTATGAGGATGCCGGATGCCAGCACTTTGCAAAACCACACCATGTGTCCATGCATATGTTTTGTTTGCACGCAATGGTTGTACTTGGCTCATTTGCATCAGGAGAGCCCTCTCACAAAGAAAAACTTTCGTCCATCTCATTTGCCCGCTCTTCGGGAAGCACCTTAACTGCATTCAGCCTCCAGTCACCTTGAAGACTTGAAGACCGTTGAAGAGTATTGCGGTGGTTCCATTATGTTTGTTGGGGCAAGTAGAGTAAGGCTTGGTTAAATGATATTACATGTTGTGGCCATGTGAGTGTCGAGCTGGGCCCCTTAGGATTTTTTGCCTATGACCACTCAATATGGCGAGCGGGCACAAGACAAGCGATGGGCTATGTCTGGCTGCTTGTCGTTTATACAGTGCCATTCGGTCATGTGCTGCTGGCATAACAGCATATTTGGGGCAATACCCTGCACATGTTTTTGGACAAAGCACATGATTTCTTGAATGCCCTTTCTTTGCAGCCCTGACCTAACCCTGGCATGACCCAAGGGTCACAAAAAAAAAAAGCTGACCATGCCAAAAGCTAAGGCTAGCATTACATTACACAATAGTAAAATGCGCACGCCAAGCGTGCCGAAAAGCTAATTCCCCACCACCAACCCTAAAAGTCATCATGCTGACTGTGCCAAAAGCATCCAAAAGCTAAGCCCAGCATCTCTCACACCCTACAAACCAGCATACTTTTCTTCATCAATGTTTGCCCGAATAGAGAATGGTAGCCGCCCGCTAGGTCCAAATGGTAACCCCAAAAATCATCTTCAGAAGAACGTGTGCTGAACGGAGTACGAAGATGCTTTTCCTTAATTTGCCCCTCCCAACCCCTCAAAATGTCAATGGATGTATGACATCTATGGGGAATCGGGTTCCGTGATCGCTCATGTTCTTTCATGCTCCGTGTTTGCCCGAAAATGGTCAGCTGGCTTTACACTTAGCATGTGCAATATGATCCCACGATGTTGCATTGTTTTTGTCCTGCATTGTGTGGGGCCACGCCACCCCTCTGACAACGTGTCGTTGATGTGTGATACCATCGCACAATCAAAATGTGGTGTCGTTGATGTTTGTTCCACCGGAACTGAAGAGCAACTGCATCAGCTGTGTTCCTTGCAGCGAAGGATATGGATGCCACCGCAATCTCATTTGGGATGATTCCCTTCGTATGCCACGAAATCCTTTCGCCGGAAAGCCAAACAGAGAGATGACGTACGTGAAGGAGTCACCTTTGCTCTCCACGTGCCTTGGGAGTTGTTGGAAAGTTTTTGCTTGAACATTATGCAATTTACGCAGTTGGGATCAATTATGCATATTTTGAGCACTGCGATGAATTGGGCAACTTCAACCAGGAGTTCATAACAGTTGACACGAAAGCAGTGAAAACACAAACTGACAGACATGGGCGTGAGCCTGGTGAAAGGCTCGCAGCACAGGGTAACGACTGATTGTGGATTTCTGCGCATTCTATAATTGCGCTGCGTGGCATCGCATTGTTTTAGCTTGAGGTAAGCTGCAGCAAAATACACTTGTGCTGATCTCATTGATGTGCGGTGATTATAATGATATTGGTGATGAATTGCGATCTTTGGCGTTGGTATTTTTTCATGATTGTGATGGCTTTGAAGATATGCAAGGGCCACCGGCCTTGCAGCAATTCTTGAAGTCATGACAAGTCTCACGCAGCCAAGCCACACTGTTTTTTGTGCAAGTGATGGTGTTCTATTCCAACGGAAAAGGGAACAAACACACCGGTGTGACATGGGGTTCCTTCCGTCAATGGAACATGAGCAAATCTATATATAAATCTCTAACTAATAGACATTGACATCAAAAGGAAACGGGTGTGGTTTGAAAAATGTTCCCAGCTGTATGTCGTTCCGGAGGATGTTACAGGCAAAAGGCGCGAGCAAGCCTATCACCAGAGATTGACAACGGCCCGGCGCAACCCACAGCACATCTGCGACTAAACCGTTTGGCACCTGCGATGTCACACTCTGTATGTTTACAAAGGGCATAGATTATCATAGATTGGTTCTTTTGAAGCAACCAAATATATAGGTATATGTATATGTATTGTATTTCTTTATCAGTATTACTATTATGACTATTATTTGTGGGGATGTCCCTCTAGCTGGAGTTTTCCAACCATAGAACTCAGGATGTTTTTCAATGTGTTTCATGTACAGCTGTTGCTATATGTCCTCATTTGTCCCCCCTGTACTGAAATGGTTTCTGACAAAGGGGGCCTTTCGCGCCTCAGTCTCATAAGACTCATACGACCCGTCGCCGGGCCATGGCGACGTTGTTTCAGGCCTCGCAGACTTGCACAGTGGGATATGCAGCGAACCATGCGCGGCTCAAGCACGCCTCGGATGAAACATATCATTCCACTGCCCGATGCTGGCTTGCAATTGGACAAACGTTCAGATTATGACTTTGCACCCATCTCACAGTTCTATAATCGAAGCAGCCATGCCTCTTTAATAACTCCCATTCCGTCCGCTACGGACTAGCCGAGACTCGCGAGACTGCGTTCGATCGCGTCAAGGAACTGAATCGAAGGCATCGAGAAGCAACGATCTCAGCTTGCGCTTGCGCTGTGACATCGATCTATGGGTATCGATTCGCTTCTATATGGCCTTCTTTTTGCGCCAGTTCAGGGATTTTGTTAAGTTTCTTTACTTTGGTGATTCTTTTGCTGGCTGACCTTGGGAAGGTCCTGGAGAAGTCAACCGAAGAACTGGCAGCAATGATGCGGCTTTTCGAGGTTTGAAGCCTACAGAACTGAATTTTGAGAATGAGGATGAATGAGAGCTTGGAGTTTACCTTTGGTGTGTTTGGTCCACAGCACACTCTTGCAAGCATCCTAGTTTGTGCTTCATTGCCATCAGTCACGAGCGCCCTCTCAGTTAAAAAGTTCCCGGCCCAGGATTAGCCACCTGTGCACTACTTCGAAGCCGAGCGAGAAAGTAAAAGGCCTACACTAGACCGCCAGAAATTGGTCTAGCTGCTAGCTAGCACAGCCTGGGAGGCTAAAGACTCCGAGCTTTGTCAATTGTTTTTCAAGCCTGTCATCATGGCACTTTTGCACCTCAAGAGGTGCTGGGTCGGCAGCAATGGACGGTGAATTTGCCACAGGAGCTTCTAATCGTTTACACACCTGCAACTCTTGAAACTGGCTTGCATTGACTTTGATGGGAGTCCAGCTTGGCCCAGCCAGGGGTAGAAGAGGTTCTCACCATTGCAAAGTAAGCTGAGAACCTCAATTGATTCTCTCGGTTTTCGGAGATGTGTAGTCCTTTGTGGCATGTGGGCTTCGGATACGGATTTCCGGCACGGTCTCACGTAAAGCGTAGCCATGCATTTTGCCCTCAGGCCGGCAAGTTTTGAGGGACATGCACATGATGCAGACCGAAGTAAGTGTAAATACTGCAAACCAGATCACAGCTGCAAGCAAAGGGACATGATTGCTGGCATGTTTGATCCCCGGTCGAATGGCATCTTCCGCATGTCTCACGGGCAACGCATTCAATGATCCCCATCTCAGGCTGGGCCGCCGTTTGGATGTGACGTTCATCCATGTTCATCCTACAATGCTTGAAGCGGGGTCATTGGAGGTTCAATACCATCGCAAAGTTGCGGTTCTTTCAGACCATCTTAGTGTGCCGTCCATGGGCCACCCTACACCCATACAGAAAGAGAGAACCAGGAGGAATGACTTGGTGTGTGAAAATCTAGGCACGCTGAGAATGGCCCAATTGGGATGAAGCTGAACAGACACGATACAACCATTGGTAAGCATTCGGAAAAAGGTGCGCCGCCTGAGCGAATCACGCCACACAGCGAGCCATTCAAGTTCATTGGCGCCTGTCAATGAATCCCAGGCAGAGCTGTTTGCAGCACTCAGGCATGGGCAGGACGGGCCTTTTCCAATGCAGCCTTTCATGGTGCAGGATCACCGCACCGACAGGCTACCAGTGGATGCTGGCCCAGGTCGTTAGCTCAGCACTGAACCCCCATCTTTGGTTCTGAACAGCTGCACAGGGGACAGCCGCAGCTGAGCAGTTGCCAGGCCCACTGTTTTCCTGTGGCACTTAAACACGAGGTGTCAGCCTTCCTGTCAGATATTGGGTTTGTCAATGTAGAGCATATGCATATGCTCAACTTTTTGCAATAAAGACCCTTTGGGCTCCCGATCTACCTCGATTCGTTACTTGACACCCCTGATACGGGTTTGGCAGAGGACCATGATATGCCTGTCTTGAACCCAAGAAGAGAGTATGGAAGGGATACTTTGCTTCAAATGAAAGGGTTCGAGGGACTGACTGTTATGGAGGAAAATACTAGTGGTCTCATGCATGTGGATTGTCCCTTTGACTCAAGATGACTCATGTGTCTCGCGTAATCTCGCGTATACTGTATACTCTTGTCATCTCTTGTCGGATTGTATGGGTACAGTAGATCCTGAAGAGAGGCAAGCAGAATTACCTTGGATCTCTGTGATGATTTGTTCATCATGCAGGTGGCGCACCAACAAAATCAGCGAGTGTGCTCTTGTGGCCTCACGCAAGGCACACTAACCACGGGCTTGCTTGGGTGAATCCAAACACTGAGGGACAAGTGATGGACAAGCGATACTTTGTTTAGTAAATTTTATAAAAAAGATCTTATATAGCCAGGTTTGTTTGGTACGTTTTGGTACCATATGGTACCATCAGACCACTGGTTCAACGGAGTTGCTGCTTTAAAGCTCACAACCAGTCTTGGCTTGCTTTTTTGCTGCATTCATTGCGTTGAGAATTGGAGCTTGAAAGGTATATTGCAAGCAAGACCTATGAGCCCGAAGCTTGCTTTTTGGGGTTGGGCTCACTTGAGTTGAGGACTTGTTTCAGTCTCCACGTATTGCCACGGATTGAATCCGATAGATGCCGATTGATTGACAGCAGCTGAGGTTTACTTCCGACATTCGGCTGCCAGAGGCTGCACCCTTGATGTCAACCGCTTTCTTCGTTGAGTCCTTCACTGAGAATGCTCATGAAACGAGTTAGTCAGACCCAGGGAGCTTTTCCCGTCTTTCCGGAGCACTGCTGTTCTGCATCCGATGTTTTGCTGCTGTTAGGTTCGGATATGATCAAGCATCAGTGGCTGCAGGCAAACTAGAAAGTGAAGCCTTTATGGAAGACTTATCAGAGGCAGCTTTGGGAGTTTCTATGCAGAAAGGTGCACGGTTTCTCGCTGGTCGCGTTGATGCTCCTCCAATCAGAGCGTTGAAGCTGCTTGGCTGCTGCCTTTGCTCCCATCCCGTGCCCCCCAACCCCACTGCAGACTTGCACAAAAGCCGGTTTTTGCTTTGCAGTAAAACCTCAGGAACACCAAAGTGGAACCCTGGTCCAAGCTTCGCGGCGAGCAGACCAGACTCGTTCTCCAGGCGGGTGAGTTGAGGGGAGCGTCCAGGGGCGTCCTGCCGCGTCCTTCAGGTCGAGGTGGTGACACCAATTCCCAGTGCCGGAGCTTTGGTGCTTCGCAGCCCTTCGGGATTCAACTTCATAGCTCCATGTTTCCTGGAGGCGACGTTTGGGCGGTGTGGTCTCTGAGCATTCAATCCATGGAGGTGGCTCAGTTTCAACATGTGGTCGCTGCCAGGAGGTGAAAGGATCGCTTGACATGGAGAATCACTTGATGTTTACACCTTTGCCCAAGACCACTTCCTGCAGCACAAGGTGCGTCACTTCGGGATATGTTATTTTGAGGCATCCCTTCAAAACATATATAGCTGCTTTGGTTGTGCCAGGCCGTTCCCAGAAAAGTTATCAAAGGCAGAACGAGGTGCTCAGCAGGCCGCCTCTTGCACATGTGTCTTCATGTGTTCTTTCTTCAGCTGCCTTTGGAGTTTGGAAATGTGCCTTCAATAGAGGGAGACCATTGCAGAACACCAGACAGCTGAATCCAAACAACCCATTCTGGAAGATACTGGAAGCATCTGGAAGCATTATGTATAGTATAGAGCCTAAACTACTATAGTTAGTAACTAGCGGGAACTCTAGACTGCTGCCCCCACCCACCCTGTCCGATCCTGTCCTACTATACTTGCTCATATCGTTGAACAGAGGCAGACTTGGTCATCCAAGCCGGCCTTGATGGAATTGGTCCTGGCGTCTACCTGTTTGAGGCCAGGGGTCAAATTGATTATTGAATGCAATCGATTTATTATCAGTATGTTGTGTATACAAGATGGCACGCTGTAGCACATTTACCTCCTCATTCTGATTCGCTTTAGCGTACATTAGCGTTGTTGGACGCCACTGTACCAAGAAGGAAGAGAATAGTGATCTTGCAAGGCACGTTGCCCCTTCGGCCCAAGGCTCATAAGCCAAGTTGTGCACCGAAATGAGGCATGGAGCCACTGAAGCCCAAGGTGCAACCTGAGCAACAGGCCGATCGCTCTTTGGTGGCATCTTTGAAGGAAAAGCAATTGGAAGAATTGCGGGCACAAGTGGCCAAGTGTGGCAAGCTGCGAAGCAACGAGCCTTCGCGGACGAACTTTGAAGATGAACTCACCTGGACGGTGCAGCAGATGGAAATGCACCGCCGGCAGATTGAAGCCCACCAGCGGCAGCTCTCTATTCTAGAACGCCGCCATGCGGAGCTAGTCACAGCACTGTCAAGTGGAGGCTCCGTCGGGAAGCTGTTTTCCATGAATGATGCGCACAATGTGCTTGGTTCAGAGGTGGCAAGCACAAGCAGTGGCAGGAGCCATAGCACTCTGCTGGGCTTTACCAACGCCATGGCAGCAGCCGAAGCCCGACTTGGTCAGAAGCGTCGAGATAGAGATCACCCGTTGCCACAACCTCGGCAAGATCCAACCCAGGGCTGGAAGACAGTTTTCAAAGCGCATTGGCCGCCTAGAATGCCTCCATAGCTGACATACCTGTGTGAGGCAGAGAGCTCAAGAGAGGCTTTCTGCCCCAAAGTGGGCATTGTTGTAGGAAAACATGGTGTGAGCATCCTGAGTCATTTCTTTGTTTATCTCTTTGCTGATGGCTTTCGCTTGCAAGGGTTTGTGGTATACTGTATGCTTTGATTTGTAATGTGCATCATTCACAGGGCTTTGATGTACAGTATAGATGTCCTGAGTTCCAGGTCGCAGCAATCAACGGTGAAACTACGCTGCCGACAAAAGTGGAGGCGTGGTGCGGGCTGTTCATGCGTTGGGAGACTATAGTAGTAGGTCCGTAGGTAGGCTGGACAATGCAGGATGGTGGCAATCTGTTTGTCACAGCAACAGAAGATGCACAAAGCTTTCTGGATTCGATGGCTAAGGGAAGCCTTCGATCCTGGTGCGCGCAAAGTTCAGTGGCTCAAATAGCCCAAGCATGGCAGTTTGGGCCTGCCCGTATTTGAATTAGAGAGGTGTTGTGAAAAGTTCATGTGTTCAATCACTGGACACATTCTTGTGCGACCTCCCAAGGCTTGCAATGCTGGACCTTTCTCAGCATAGTCAGAGTCCGAGACAGGGATAACAGTGACGTTGATAACGCGTTTGGTCGTCGTGTTGGTACCTTTGCCTTCTCCATGCTGGTCGTCCTGTAAGCCTCGAGGCCAACGCACGCGGGGAATCCTTCGGTGAGTTGGATGCCAGAAGCTTTGTGCCCGGCTATGGCCTCAAAAGCCGGATGCCAGAGGCAGGTCAGCGATTCTGGGACAGTGTGATGATCAAACATGTTGTTGAAAGAAAGCAGAACTAAGCTAATGGCCGCCGGTTCCTTTTATGTTTGCTTGTGTCGATTTTTGTGTTGACAATGGCCAAGTGGTTTGCGGCTTGATCATGCTTGACCCTTGCACAATGCGGCTCAAGAGCAAGCTTCCATATGCTTCCTCGCCCTTGCTAGGAAGTCATGAAGCGAGGTGGCTTGTACATGTTGTTCACCGGCCGCGCAGGCCGCAGATGTGCCACCAAGGCAACACATCCCAGAGAGTACGCAATTTGGAAGAAGTTGGACCGCGATGGTGACAACTTTCTCACCCATGCTGAGATTAGGCACATGTGTAGAAAGTTTGATGCCTCTGAGCATGCAAGGGTTCTGAGCTGGATCTTGGATCCAGAGGGCAAGGGAGGTGTGGATTTCGCTGGATTCTGCGAGAAGTTCAAGGCTGTGCAAATGGTGCGAAATGCATCGCGGCTGAAGCATTGGCATCGAACCTTTGGGCTTGGTGTTGCCGGAAATGTTGCTGGACACATGCAGCAAGCAGGTGAGGCTGATGACAGCCATAGTTCCAGTATGCCAGCAGCGGTGTTCACCTTTTACGCACCTCATCCCCATACAGTTGATGCTACCGAAGATGAAGTCCTTGGCCGCTTAGAGAACTTTCCTGTGAGCAATGCTGTCATTGATTTCCCCCGGCTTGGTGGGAATGTACAAGTGGAGCCCGAGATGGGCTTGCTGTGCGATATCGTTTACACCCCATGTGGCTCTGCAGTCGAACGGCTGGTTCCTCGCCGTGTGGCAGCCTTCAACGATTGCTCAATCCGACAGTTGGATGGGTCATCAAAGTTGAGCGAGAAGAAGAATTGGGGCGCCGGCAGCAAGGGTATCAGCCTCCGAAGCTTTCGCATCACGTCGATCTCAAAGGGAAGCTATGTCGATCAGCTATGCTTGGCATCGTACATTAAGCGAGGTGAGGAGATCTTCCAATACAGCGTGCCTGCACCCGCGAGAAATTACCTTCTTTTCCATGATGCCTTGTTGGACTGGATTGTGCATAGCATCAACACGCAACAGGATACTGACAAATGGGAGGAGATCTTCCCGCGTCTCGTGGAGAGTGACTATCCTGTGTCCATGTGGATTGCTTTAGGGGCTGGAGAGTACACATCATGGGGCACAGAGAACTATTTGCAGCCAAAGGATCAGAGCCTGGTCATGGTCTATGATGAGGAGAAGTTTCCTACCGGGCCACAGGACTCACTTGTTGAATCGCTTTTCGAAGAACGGGAAGCACCAAGCGGCGTTATTGCCTTGCACCAGACCCTGGTTTAAGACTGGTGCTTGAATTGGGACAATGCATAGATTGTGGTCACAAAGAAAAGGCTTGAAAAGAACTTAATGCTTGGTTTCCGGCACACAGCGCGCACACGAAACAACGTGGAGGGAGATGCATCAGTTGAAATCACTGCCGTCAGGCTGTTCTGGTTCCGGCTCCCGGGCGTAGCGACAGGCCGCGGGTTGTTTCTAGACAACTCAAGTAATGCAGATCCGTGCCAGGCCCCTGACAAGGAACCGCTTGACCTTTGGCTTCAGTTTGGACAAAGAGTTCAGAGGCAGCCAATCAAGCCACCATTTTATTGGCCAGACAAGTTCTCATAGGCTAGATGAACTACAGTATATAGATGTGAGCTTGAAAGAACTTTCTAGAATGGTGTCCAGAGTGTTCAGGCAACACTGACAAAGCAGGAACCTTAAAACCAGAGGCCTTGGCTGCAGCTTCACCATTTCTCTCATGTACTGTCGTCCACTCCCTACAGTTCCTTTCTCCAAGGGTTTGTTTCTTCGCGGTCCTGTGGGCTTTCATATCAAGGAGGCAAGGACACTTCCAGCCGAGGCGGTCGTCGGTACTTCTTTTGAAAGGTTTCGAGTTCACGGTTTCAGCATGTGTCACGTCCCCTCGTTTTTGTGTTTTTGCAATCCAATCTTTAGGTTGATTGTGGGACGTGGATTTCAGAGTTGCATCAGCTTTGGAGGATTGTTTGGTGAGTGCGGCAAATTTGGAGTTGGAGCCCAATGGCTTTTGGGCAGGTGTCGGGAAAAGTAGACGAATGTCAGAAAACATTTGACAAGTCTTAGCCAGCCGGTGGCTTGGCAGGTGCACCTGTGCACAGCTGTCAGGCCACTGCGTTGGTGTGGATATTGCAGTGGGCTTTGAATGTGTGGAACATGTAGGTTGATTTGATTGCCCGTGTGCCGTGTGCCCCCCCTAGTCTGCAGTTGGGAGGCTTCCGGAAACACTGCAGCACTGACAACAGCTTCTGCTTTGAAGGCCGTGCGAAGTCAAGTCTAGGAAGATCAAAACAACTGGCACTGAACTTGCCAGCTTCTACCAAGCTACCAGGTACAGTTTCGGTATGCCTTCGCAGTGGAGGTGCTATCAAACGCAAAAGAAGAACAATGTGAAGAAGCAAGAGGCAAGAATAACTTGTAAAGCATGCTCTGATTAGTTTGGGTTGGTTTTGATATGCGGCCTTGCACATCCATGGAGATCCTCAACGTAGGATCGCAAGTGTTGGCACAACCATTGTTGAGGTTTAAGTGCGGGTTTACTTGATATTGTGTGAAAGGACATCCCACTGGATGTTGAGAGACAGTGGAAGGCGATCAAATCCAAATCCTATTGCCAAAATGCCATTTGTCACACTTCACTTCCTTGATCCTGAAGGTGCAGCAGAATCCTCCTGCCACCCCCATGCAAAACTTTTGGTGCTTGGAGGCTGGACAGAGATTTCAAACGGCACTCGCCAGGACATTCAGTGTCCCATATGTAGTATGGGAAGAATATGGGTAGCATTGATGTGTGAGACATACTGAAGCTCCGCAACTTGCTTTGCAGACTTCAACAGAATCCTCTTTGCCCTTTTCCGGCTTTGACATTCAAGCATTTACTGCGATGGAAGCCTGGATGCAATTTGGACTGGGACACTGTTGAGACCATGCGCTTGTCCAGCACCAACCGATACAAAGCAACTGCTCGGATGAACCACACCAATCCAGGTGGTCATGCCACTGACTCGTGTGCCAAACTCATTGAGCGAGGAGAACTTTTCTCTGCTAAACGGCATACATAATGTACAGTCAGTGAGTAGAGAGAGAGAGAGAGAGCTTTCCGGACTAGCCCATGTTGAATTGAAGCTTGATCGCGCAAGTCAGTGAATGGGACAATGTTGAACTAAAAATGTACACTAATCAACACTGTGTCAGAAAGCCTCATTCAGCACCAGACCGAAGGCTGCAGGTGGTCTTTGGCCGCATGGCGCTGGTTCCAATTTGGTCCCGGCCTTGTATATCTCGAGGTCTCATCAAAACTATTGGACTATAAGTCAACTTTGACTAAGTCAACAACGGCCGCTTAGGTGAACGTATCTTTTCGCCCCCAGACCACTCAGAGCAGCGGCATCCTTGGCCTTGCGCCTTGCTTCTTGCTGCCTTTGGATGAACACTGGTTGTGGAAGGTGCAGGAGCGATCGTGATCACTGCCCCCTTGAACTTCATCCTCCAGCACAATACTGGGTGTGGTGCATTTTATCAGGTGGGTCAGGTGGGTCCAGGGCCAAAAGAAAGTCTCAAGAGCTCCAAATCGTTCCTTTGGCCATCGTAGCAGGCTGGTACTTCCGGGTCCGATGTTTGTGCTGCTGCATGCCAGTGCCATTTGCAGGCAGTTGACTCAAAGAAGCAAGATCATGTCTCATGAATTGAACCTATTTTGAGAATCACTCAGGCAACCAATGTCCTGGCAATCACTTTCAACGATGCGGTCTTGATCAAGGGCCAGGAGTATATCATGATGCTTCGCGTGGCGCACCTCTCAACGATCATGGGCCACATGCGCCTCAGAACGCGAAACACTTTGCGCCTCCAGGTCGGGTCGTTGCCTCAAAGCGACAGCACATGGAGCTTGCAGCCAGGCTCTCGGAGAGTCTTTGAGGGCCTGGCTGAAAAACGAAGCCAGCTCTATTGAGCATTGTCTCAGGTCCTTCGATGACACAACATCACAGAAACCATTGGACTTCGGGGAGGTGGACCGGACTATGACACTATTCAGGAAACATCATGAAACTATGTTTATGCATAAATTTGAGCTACAATCCTCACGATACATCCATTTCATTCCCGGATCATTCTGCTATTAGAAGGCATTCTGGAGCAAGCTGTGAAAGCGGAGTATTGCTCGTGCTCAAGTTTGTCTCGAAATTGCAGGTCGCAGGGTTTGAGCTTTCTAGTGCCCTGAGCTATCTTTCTGTTGGTGTGTGTGGGCCTCATCATTCGGAAGACTTTGCTGGCTTAAACCTTTGATTTTGTCGCCTATGTCATGTCCATGCAGGTGAAGGAGTAGCGCTGGCAGTTGAGCAACCTTTTTTTGACAGATGGACGTCCGCTGCTGGCTCAGGCTACATCCAGAAGCCCAAAACTCGGCAGTCCTAGCCACACCGAATCAGGCAAGCAAATTTGGTGGAGGGCTCGCAAGCTAAGAAGGTGGAAAGCAGTGTTGTTGGGAAGAGAAAGTATATACTATTAGCATGGCGTTGTTGTGAAAGATTCACGCACGAACTCATGCTATGACCAAGCTTGTTGCCGGCGCAATGCAACATAATGAGGAAGCAGGTTCGCTTGAAACTAACAAGCATTCAAACCCTTTGCCAGGATGGTTCTGCACTGTTGGAACTGTATTTGGTGCTGCAGCTTCCGCATCAAGTCTGGAACTCAATGCCTGACATATTGGTGCTGAATCGAAACTAATCGAAACTATTGCTTTTGGGCATACATACCGGCTTGCTGTCAGGTACTAGGAGGTGATGTTCTTGACGTTGAACTGCCCCCTTCCTACACGTGGCTTGGTAAGCAGGCAGCATTTCAGCACATTTGATTCGATGACGTCAATAAGCCTAAGGCTATTGAGCAAGGACTGTGAACAGTTTCGGTGGTGGGAAGGCAGCGAGCCAAATTTGTCCTCACACCAGCGCTAAAAAACAAGTCCTGCAGATCAAGGTCTTCCAGAACAATCTCAGCTGCAATTCGTGGCTTGCCTCTCAGCGGGAGTGGAGACCACAGCCAGACGCCACCGCATCAGAACTGGAGGCGGTTACATGTTTGCCTTCGGGAGTGAGATCCAATTTCACAGGAAGTTCAGAGGCATCGAACATTCCACGGGTAATTTGTGAGAGGGCCAGTTTTCCCAGCTTGTTGTTTGCCGGTTCGTCCACAGGTGCTGTTGCAAGCTCATCAAGCTATAACGTTGAAGTTCAATGTCCAAAATCCACCCAGGCATGGGTGGCATCGGGTCTCTAGATTGGGCTTACTGGTACTGTAGGTGAGTAGATCACGATAGATATTCTTGAAAGAGCTGTTGGCTCACTCCGCCAAGTTCTAGGAGTTTTGATGATGTCTTTTGGCACGCGGGATGCTGAGACTTGAGTCAAGCTGGAAATAGATACGGCAGGGGACAGAAAAGAGGATCTTGCTTGCGAAGTGTGCATATTATTGGGTTGAACGATGTTAAATTGTTATGTTATATTCAATTCAAACCGATCAGGTCAGACACTACAGGAGCTTTCTGCTCAAAGCCGCTGGTGCCTTTCGCAGTTGGAAGGCTGGTCCGTGACTGCCGGAAATGTTTGATGCAAATAAGATCAGTCCAAAAACCTTGGAACCAAAACCCTTCTGTCGGAGGCCTTTGGCTGTGGATATGGAGCAAACATTGAAAACCTTACGTAGGAAAACCGAAGCCCCTGGTCCTGTGGCTTCAAAGAAACAAAGGTTTGCTGTTTAGGAGCAATATTTCTTCCAAACGGCTGCTGCTACTGTGACCTTTGCTAGAGCTTCTCCGTTTTCCAGCGTGCTTACACTGATGCTCCAACCGATGCCGCGGAAACACCAGCAGCAGCAGGGGCACTTTGACGCGACCTGCCCACATCGCCTCTTGCACATTACATTTAGTGTGTCCAACGGAAGTCCCAGGAGCTTTTAGAACCAAAAGCAGAATATGAATGCACACGATTTGATATGTCTTTCCCTGAGGGCCCGAGCAGCTATTGTGGTACAGGCAAACCAATGAGGAAAACCATATGGGATGGCCGCCTCCAATGTCCACTTCCAGATTACGAATTTGGGACACCTCGAAACTGTCTATCTTGAACACCTTAGTGCATAGCTGTCAACAACTTGTCCTGGTGAGTCATTATGAGACATTCGCCACACCACGACTGCCAGGTCTTCCCCCTGTTGGCGGAGGTCAGCATTGAGATTGTTCTAACCCAAGAATGTTAAAACTCATTGAAACTCACTAGGAGCAAGGACGCTACTAGGGGCTCCTGGCCGCCTTACTCCTAGGAACAAGAAGCTACTAGGGGCTCCTGGCATCGCTACTAGGAGCGATCGGACGCTACTAGGGTGGAGGACACTTGGATGCGGGCCTCAGCCTCACCTGAGGCATCCACTGCAGGAACAGGGTTGCGTGCGTGCCTCAGCTTCCAGCTCGCCGATGGTTCGGCACTTCAGGTGGTCGGTGGTTGGGTATGCTTAGGGCTTGGGCCTCTTTGGTGGAGGGAGGGGCAAACTGTTCATCAAGTCATTCCCGAGGTGCAAATGCCATCAACGTGCTCCCCTTACCCATTGTAAACGCTATAAAACAGCTTTGAGCACACGCTGCTGCTAAGGTTGCCTTCGTTGCAGTCGAAAGTGCCGAGCGCTTGGTGTTGAAAGCGCTGAGCCCTCAGACATCCTCAGACGGTACTGGTTGCTTTTCCACGCAATCAGGACATCATCAATGCTTGGATGAGGTCGCCGGGATTTGATTTCCGTACAGCCAGCAGCAAGAGTGGAACGATCCTTTTTGGTCCTTGGGCTTGCACAGAGTCGCCATTCGGCGTTGCAACATGCCGATATAGCTCCCACTTGATGCTTTAGGTACCGAGAATCCAAATGTCGTAGCTCTAGACTTGATCATGAAGGCTGGGTTGTGACCAAGCAACTTGTGTCAAATGTCTTTTTGGTAAATCACTGCAGGAAGGGGAGCGCACAGAAGTTCGCCTTCTTCACATTCAGCTTCCCGATGCCGGCCCTGCCCACTTTGCTTTGGAGACCATCGGCTCGGCTGCACAGCATGGCTGGGCCATACATACTCTGTACACGGTAGGGCGCATCGAGACTGACCAAATTCAAGCCCGAGGAAATGGGAAGCTCGTCGCAAGCAACTCAGAGATTGAGCAAGAATGCCAAAACATGGTGTTGCCATTCTTATGACTCAGGCGAGGAGACTTGACATTCCTGTTCACGTGCCAGGTGTGTTTGAGTCATTGTGCCGTTGATCAGCACACAGTTCACTAGATGTCCTTGTGCACGATTGTCCACAGTCCACAGGCCATCTCCTCCTGTCTGACCCGGTTCTCCTGACTGAGTATCAAGCCAACCCTCACCAGCTTCTTGACAAAAACCGAATGTGAGAGTGTTCGGTCAAGCCATGGAACCCTGGCTGATCAGCTGAAAGCAAGGTACCCGTTGCAATCCAAGTGGCCAGCTCACTTCAATGGGCATATATCTTTGGAGCTGGAGGTGCCTTGGAACAAACTCGCAGGAGAATCAGCCTAACATGATATGCAATGGGACCCGTCCTTCTCCACGCTTGCATTCGAGTGATTGGCTAGAAGAAAATCAAAAGTTTCTGTCACCTTTTGATCGCTCTTTCCTGCACAATGAATGCAGACAAGTGATCGTGTCCAAGGTGACCTTTCCCGCGCTGGTGGCTCCTGGGCAATCACTTCGCCTCTCCGGCAAGCCCTTCCAAATACAGGTGTAAAGCTCAGGACTGCAACTGTATAGATCGATCAGTACATGGTGGATCACGGTGGTACTATGAATTGTTGACCACTGCAATAAACAGCGGTGGCTGAGGGTGGCTTCGAAATGCTTTCTTTGGGAGGACTGACCGATAACATCTCACCAACCTCACCTTCTAGAGCACGACCAACATCTATCATTTCTATAGTAGGTTTGCTATGCTGAGCTTCCGCATTCATGCCATAATAAAGCGTTTGCATATTCAACGTTTTTGGGCATTGAAGCAGCATGTTTGTCTAGGTCAATTTTGGCTCACAAGAGGAGCGCCAATGGCAACAATTGCAAGAAATACACCGGATGGAGAGCTGATAGCAGCTGTTTCTGGCGAAGGACCGGCCGTGTGGATTCAGAATTTGGACATGAGTCCGCCAGCAGAATCAGGGGTGACACAACCAGGATTGTTGCCTGCGACACCTTACAAGATGTCGGCCATCGGTATTGCACCAAATACTGCATTGGAGAGCACTTGCCCGAGGGAGTGCGCTGCTGCCAGTAGCATTGAAGCACATTCTGTAGTAGCAGTGCGGTGTGCACACGAACAGAAACGGCTAAGGTGTTGCATACTGGAGTCTAGAGGTGCCGAATTGATCAATGTTTGTGACGTGTCTTTTCAACTGGTGTTTCATGTTCTCAGTTCTCAGTGCATACGTCTCAGGTAATCGGCACAGACGAAAATCTGCTCGGCATCGGCGGAGTTGAGGCAGAGACGTCGAAGCAAATTTCTGGTTTTGAGTCTTGTCTTTTTTGAAAGGCTTTACACACTTGTAGCATGCAAACACATGCCATTCCCAGGCTGGCATTGACTTGGTTAGTCGGTGCAAGGCTCCCGCAGCTGTTCACAAGCAAATGACGACGTGGCAGAGTCAAGGTGTTTGTTGCATTCAGATCTGTGAAAGGTGGAAGTTGCAGCTCAAAGGACCGTTGCCTGTCATATTGTAAACATGTTCATTTGTGACCTGCAACGAGGGCGAGTGGGGCAGGAGCCCTCCACTGGCTTTGATTGAGATAGAATTGCGTATCAACTTCGAGGGCTCGATGCCTGATCGCTGGGTCCTCGCACCAATCTCAGCACGATGGTGCCATCTCGCTTTTTGGACATTTTGACTATCATTCTTATGATGCTTACTTTGCTTTGAGCATTCGGAGGTAGCACCCAATGGCTTCACTTTTCCACCAGACTGCGCTACCTTGCGGTCGGCTTGGTGCCCAGAGCATTTCAGAGCATGTTGCAGGCCAACATTGTTCAGCCTGAGCTACCGTGTGCCTTCATGCTACAGGAGAATGTTAGTTGCTTTGCAGACATGGACAATCAGGCCAGGTGTCCTTTTGCCCATTGCGAGGGTTGGCAGAGTTTTGTGTGCCGAGCTTTGGTTGAGGCCTCAGCCACCGTGCAAGGACTGCATGGGAGTAACGTGACCCTGAATGCTTCGACCCTAAGTGGAGCGTCAGACTGGCCATTTCGCTTGGGTCTACCGGGATTTCTCAAACAGCGTTGGCTTCTGAGGTGGAAACTCCCACAAAGACGCCAACACCGCGCTCATGGCTCCTGGCCGCTCTGAACCAGAAAGGTGCAATAACACAACATCAGAGGGTGTACTCAGTACTCTGATTTGCTGTTTGCCAGGCAGCATTGTTGCGTGGTGCGAGGAGAAATCACACACCGCCTCAGCCGCATGCATTTCAACATTTGGCCAGGATAAACTTGGCTTATCAGTTGCACAGATCCGAAGCGCCTGGTGCTTTCGTAATCCTTGCAAACATGCTACATCATGCTACTCTGCAAGTTCATGTTTGCTCCGAGCTCAGGTCGCTGTGGTTTACCCCGCTGTGGCCGGAGCTTCTGCCGAACTCGCGGTGAGGCCCAAAGATTTGCCGATGCCGCTCTGTGGCTCAAGACGCAAAGGGCCTTGCAGTGCCTTGCAGCACCATGTTGAGCCAGACTGAGCCTGCTGTGACCGGGATGCCTGCAGGTTTCTCCTCAGCGATCCATTGCCTGGAGGGGCCATCGAGTGTAGCACTCAGAGTGCATTGCATGTACCATAGTGGACCAGTCTCCCCAGCTGCATACTTCCAATTGAGTGGACTGACATTGCGCGCATCATGCAGAAACTGAGGTTAGTGGCTCCACCAGAGATTGAATTGAACTGCACAGGAACCGATCATGAAGGGATAGTCAGTCTCAAAGAGTTGGGCAAAAGTGGAAGGTTATCTTAAAGACTCTTTAAGTTGCTGCGTATGTTGTTCATGGGCGTGAAGAACCTCACCTGTAACACTTATCGAGAACCCATGTCTAATCTTGAATAAAATTGCGTGGAACCTAGCAAGCCCGAATCAACAGCACGACGTGCGAAGGGCTGCCTTGTTCAGCCATCTATAGCACCAGCCCAGTTTTCTGAAGTGATATTCAGGAATGGCTTCATAGACTGGTTTGACAGCAGCTTACTTCCCTAGGTTTGTAGGTTGGTTGCGTCATGTTTTGCCAATTTCAGAAACATGAAAGTCGGTGGCAGGAGAGCTTCAGCAGATGTCGTTGCATGTTCAAGGTCAAGCCCAGCTTTTGTACTCTTGACTTAATGGTTATGACGTGTCGATGTATATACAGTCATCCTGGAGCGGGTAGAATTTGGGGCAATCCAACAAAAAATCAATCGGAAAGTGGCCAGTTCATTGTTCATATTCTATTTGCTCCTGTACTCTGGCATTGCCGTTTGTCTTTACCAGGCTGCACCACAGAGATGACCTCCGTGAAATTGCTCCGTGCTCAGCACAGATGCACAAATAGGGGCCACTTAAGGAAGCCAACACACAAAACAATTACATTGTAAAAATAGACATTGGCAAATGCACGTGGTACGGACGTACTTACTCCACCAGGCTGCTTGCCTCAGAGCTCTCTGCGGGAATCCACGCTTTCGCACGCGTCTTGAAATGCTTCATGTACTTTGAGTATCTTTGAGTCGATTTTGTGTTTGTGCTTATCTCAGATTGTAGCATGTCCAGGCCCTGGATGCTCGCATGCCACGTCCTGAGGGCTTGCAGCCCATTTTTGACCAGCTGGCTCTCAATATAACATAATTGGTCCATTGATTCAGCCAGGCCAGCAACCACCCCCTTGCAGAACAGCTTCTCACTCTTTGTCCGACGCTACTGCCCCAGTAATACAGGCATGACCGGCATGAGCCTAGAAATGGAACCGCAGGAGGATGAGTCATGAGTGTCGTTTTGTGACAAGACCTTTCAACACGAGATGTGGCAATTTCAGGTACCGACGGCGGCATGCATGAAGCTGCAAGTGCTGTGCCAGGTACGCCAATACCCAGACTCCAGTTGTGCCGTGTAAACAACAATGAGGATAATTGCTTAGCAAAATGCTGATGACTCATTACTCATGACTGTGTTTGATCGGTTTTGCGATATGTTCATCATGAGCCATGAACCTTATCCTGAAAAGTTGTGAGGCCGTGTATTGCAAGAAAAAATCTTGGTGGACAGCCGCCCGCTGCAGTGGACAGCAAAGGGGCCAAGTTTGATAGCCATCGGTGTTCAAGGCATTCAAGGTCAACAGACCCTATAGATGCATGATCATGCATGCACAACAACAATGCTAACGATGCTTGGGAAATTGGAAAATGCCAAAAAAACTGAAGGCAGCTGAAGCTGGACAGGCAAGCAGCATAGTCATTGGCAGAGTCCTCAGCGCCCTCAGTTTGGGCGGGCAGTAGCAAATGTCAAGCGTCAAAGCAGCTAATATAGCTCTAGGAAACGCAGAAGTCACTGTGTATAGATCTTAATCTTTGACAAGCTCAAGCGTTTGCCACTGCCAAAAGCCACTATGTGAGCCAGCGTGGCAAGCCCACAGTGATCATTGTGATCATTGATCGGCGTAGGATTAATCAAAGGGCCCCCCCTCTTCAAGGTCAACAAGGTTTGAGATTTGGAAGTATTGGTATTGGAGACCACCCTAATAGTGGTGATGACCTGATGATGGATAATGAGGTGATGACCTGGACCTGATGATGGAACCATGAGAACCATGAGTGCTTAGCATATTGGCACAAGTTTGATGAGAGATCAGAGCCATGCCATTTGGAAGCTTGCATTTGAGGGTTTCACTATAGGAAGGTATTGGAGGCTAACTGAGAATAAAGTAGTTATTTACTGTACATAAGTAGTATAACTATAGATTTGAAAAAAAAAAAAACAATATTTAAAGTTTTCTGAGGGCAGATGGGCTTGATCAACGAGGGAAAGCTTCTGCCAAGGGAAAGTGTTAGAGCGAGGCCAATGTCAATGTGGGAATTTAGATCTTAAATTGGTTTAGTATTGGGGGCTCGAGATGGGCTTGATTAGTTGTGGGGGGTTACTTAACATAGCTGCTAGCCATTGCATTCAAAATGTGAATCTAATCTAGATCAACCCCTACAACAGCCGCATAGTTCAGCAACTTTGTAATTTAATCATTCTATCCAGGAGCCATACTCAAGCGCTTTTGATTGCTTTTGGGATATGTTGTATTTTGCACCAGGTTTTCAACTCCATCAAAGAGTGGGCAAGAACACCTTGGGCGCTGCATTGGCCTTATTCCGGAAGATGAAGTGTTTTGACCAAGTGCTTTGAGTGGCCTGAGCTGGCGGTACAAACAGGAAAAGACTTGGATCTTTTTGGTCATTTTGGTCCACTCTACTGCAGAAAAACTTACAAAAGTGGGTGATCCTTTATTCATGGCGTTTCTAAGGTGCTGATCACCTTGGCAGAGAGCTTCAAACACGCGTGCGCTCCATGGACGAAGCGGAGTGATTAGTGGGTCCACTCATGAGTCATGATTCGTGGAGAATATGGCGGGAGCCTGGTTAATGAAGAAATGCGGGGCAGCATGGCAGGAGCAAAGATTGTCTTCCAAGTTGCAGACTCAAAATACAATGCCGCAAAGGAACGTCCAACGTTTCCGTAAAAGAGCTGAACTAGGTCCACCTTGTGCAACCCAAAAGGATGCTCCAAACTGCAGGGTTTGGGATTGGGTCGCAGTTGCCTGATGGGCACAACACCAAGATGTCACCAAAGTACATTCCTTTGCTCGATTTTGCTGGCTTGCATGTGTCCAAATGCTTGCGTGATTTGGCATTTTGTCTTTAGTGTCACACGCTCGCCAGACTTCGCTTTGCGGAAGACCTTGAGATCTTGAATTCAGCCTTGCCTATTGCCCGCTCTCGGGATGGATGGGCAGAGGTTCGGAAGGTCGAGAACCGAAGAAGAACAAATGGTGTACTCTCAGCCCGTCAAGTCTCAGAGCTGGTCTCAACAATGCTCTACAAGGTCGATCGCATATGGGTCTTTTTGGATGCTGCCCAGCCAGTTCCAGCTGGTGCATACGACTCTCAGCTGCAAGAAAGACTCAGACACTCACAACTCAATGGTGCAAGCCAAAGGTTTGCAGCTTCTTTGGCGTGTAATGTGATGTTCGTAAAAATAAGGGGGAGGGTACATCTCCATTTTTTACAGGTTTCTGGGGTAGTCGCAACAATAGTCACCTCTATATAGAGTTCATTACATTTGCTTTCATTTGCTGTCATTCTGCGTTTTATTGCTGTACTGCAGAGCTGAATTTTGTAAGTACAGTATGGATCCTGACCATTCTGCCTCCAAAACCGTGATTGAGGGGCGCTATAGAAATCAAACGTGATCTTGATTTTCTGATGCTTGAATATATGGTACTACGCCATACTACGCCCCCCGTTGTTTAAGACGAACTAGGTGGACCGTCTTCGACCGTAGGGTTTGGGCTCACAGCCTATGTCCTGTGCCCTGTGTGGCACTCCGACGCCCGAGCTCGACGCGAAGTGCACCTTTTGTCGAGCTAGAGACAGGTTCTGGCTGGTTTTGGACGACTTGCCGTCGGAACTCAGAGGGTGGGCCATTTCCAATTTGAGGATCTGGACCGGGATTGTGCAAGAGGAACACGAGAAGTTCACCACCCTCCTGAGGCAAAGGGAGCTTGTGAATAACACCGCAGCGCCCAAATCAGCCGGACCAAGCCTGGCAAGTCATTCTCCTAGTCAGGGGAGATCAGTTGACCCTAAGGACAAAGCGGTCGACTTGAAGGAGGAAGAGACTAGGACCAGTCCGCCTTCGAAGAGAGCAGGAGTCAAAGAGGTAGAAGGAGTGGTAGAGGAGGAAGAAGGAAAGCATTCAAGTTCATCCAAGGCTGCAAAACCTAAAGCTGACACTACATCATCGAGGCCGAGATCACGGAAGCGAAGTAGGAGCCGGAGACGTCGAGACCGGTCCAAGAGTCGTAGGTCGAGGACCCGAAGAGACAGGAGTCGATCCCGAAAGGGCCGGACGAACGACAGAGGAGAAGGAGGAAAGGAAAAGAAAGCCAAGCCATCCGTCAGACCGCCAAGGACACCCTCACGATCACCGCCGAGGGCAAGGGGAGGACCTCCTCCTAAGCGGCCGCCAGTTGAGAGAGGCAGTGGACCACCAGCTCCGGTCGCAAGACCCACGGGCCGACAGTGGACCGGAACCCTTCGACAGTGGCAGAGGCAGCCCCAATACTGGGGAATCAATAAGGGTCAGAAGAAGAAGGAGAAGCAGTACTACTACCGCCGGTAGTGGAGCATCTCTTTAGACCTTCGATGGCATTGAGGAGACCAGCCGCCAGAGGACGCAGGGCTGGTGAGGCGAGAGAGGAACCTCCTGCAGAAAGGGGAGGAAGAGTAAGGAGGCGCCCAGCTGGGCTAGGCCGGTCAGGAGAGCCGGCACCAGTTCCTGCTCCAGAAGCAGGGAGAGGACGAAAGGAAGAGGCAGGGAAGACGTTCGAAGAAGGCACCTTGACACCATGTCATCAAGTGCCCCTCGACGTTCTACGGAAGAGACTCCCAGTGGAGGTGAATGGAAGCTACTGGGGCCAGAGCGGAGGCATCTCAGGATTGGTCCAAGGTGTCCACGTCCGTGGACGGGAGGACGTGGAGTTGGAAGTGCTGATACAGGGGACAAACCTGGAATCCATCTTGAAGTGGGCGAGCGGCTGCGAGGACAAATTGATGAGAATCCACTTGTGCGGGGGACGTTGCCCCAGTCCCTTAGACGCCGAGAACCTCCTCCACGGCGAGGTCATGTGCGCCCGCAAAGGGGAAGATCTCCCATGGATGATGAACCTTGTGGCCGAAGGAACCGGAGGAGGGGAGACAGCGCCCATCGAACCTCCTATAGAAAAGGGGAGGAAGGAGGAGAAGAAGGAAAAGAAGGACAAAGAGAGAGGACGGAGCAAGGAGAAGGATCGGAGCCGGAAGAGAAGGCGGAGGAAAAGCGGCGAGAGGAGCTCCGAAGACAAGAGAGAACGAAAGAGGATCTCCTTGAGAGAGGAGGCAAAGAAGGGGCTGAAGGCCGTCTATGGAGGCACCGGGATAGATCCCGATCCTCACTTCAGGCGCAAATTCGCAGCCAAGGCCGCCAAGAAGGCCAAGAAGAGAGGACACAGTTCATCTTCCAGCCACACGTCAGATACCAAGAGTCAGAGCACGAGCGAGAAGAGCATCGAATTGTTTGCAGAAGATCACAAAATCAGGAGGATGGGGAAGCTGGCGCCAGGCGCGCTTACTTGTGCCGCGTTCCGGGAGATCCAGAACTCGTTGTTGACAGCCAGCGGCGGCGTCTGGGATTCGGAAGATGGAGTGATTCCTCCGGTGGCATGTCAGTACTACAGGCAGATCATGCAATCGAGGCTGCAGGGAGGACAGGCCCGCGAGGCTTTGACAGTGGCATGGTCGCTGGATCTCCTTTTACAAGGCAGGACAGCAGAGGCTTGCGACGTCCTCACGCAGAGGTTCAAGAGATCTCGCAGAAGGTGGAACTGGTACCACCGGAACGCCCAGTGCTCAGTTCACGTGCAGAGACCCGGGAGGCTATCAGAGAGAATCGGGAAGAACAGAAGACCCGAAGCGAGGCTGCACGGCCGCGAGGAAAGGGGGATTCAGGAAATTCCTCCTGGAGAGACGAAGACAAGGGCAAGGGCAAAGAAGGGAAGAACAAAGGAAAGAAGGGCAAGGAGAAGGGAGAAGGCAAGCGAGCAGAGAAGTGAAGGACAGCAGCTCGCACACTATGAGCCCAGATCCGAAAGAAGGTGACCTGGCCTCTCAGGAAAGGTCAGAACTTGCTATCAACGGTGTGCCGGCGCGCCTGGCTGGCGATGGTACACCAGGTACAGCTGCCGAAGGACGACTTTTAGGTCCTGAAGTCCCGGCAGAGCATCCCGCCGACCCGGCCTTTGATCCGAGGTCTGAGCGTGAAAAAGTTTGCATGAAGCCGCCTTGCATGGGAGACCGTTTTGTAGCAGTTGCACCCTGGATGACTTTCACGTTGCGTCAAGCAGTGTCCTTGTTGGGACTTCCTTTGCAGTGCACGACCCAGCCCTCGGGTGACATTTTTCCGTTGCCCACCAACGTGGAAGTTCTCCAAGCGCACAGTGGCGTCGAATCGAGTGAAGTGGAGATTCTTAGAGGTATCTGCCTGGGGCTGAACTCGATGTATGGTCTTGCTCTTGAGAATGCCTTTCCCCCCCAACTCCCACCAAGACGGGGTTCTGAAGTTCCTATTGTCACAATCGCAGGTTGTGTCCTCGTGGGCGGAACACTTTGAGGAAACCAATTGGCATGACTTCTTCAAGCTAAAAACGGTGGACTATACTGGTGAGGAGGTCTTGTGTGCTCAGTACACTAGCTGGGAAAACCTGGCCCCAGCGATGCCCAAGGAGATTGCCTCGGTCCCATTGGTAGAGGTATGCGAGTTGGGGTGCCGGCATTACGTCGAGAATTTCGTGTCGTACGTGCTTCCCGAGGAGATGCGCCAGCCGATGAAGCCTCCTCGAGTTCTCATCACCAATGAGGCCTGGCGAGACGTGTGCAAGGGCCTGTTGGGGAATGGAGTGTGCATTCCTATGTTGGAACAGGATCTCTTCCATGTAGGTGGTCAACCTTTGCTCAACGGCCTTTTTGGCGTTCCCAAGGGGGAACAAGAGCAGGGCGTGGAGATCCACCGTCTGATCATGGATCTAAGGCCCTGCAACAAGGTAGTGAGAGGGATTGAAGGAGACGTGTCCACGCTACCTAGCTGGGCGACAATGGCGCCGCTACAATTGATGCCCAGTGAAGATCTGGTGATCTCCTCAGAAGATGTCCGGTGTTTCTTTTATATTTTTAAGATCCCCCGGGAGTGGTCCGCTTTCCTTGGATTCAACCGCCCTATCCCACCGGAACTTTGTCCAGATAGTCAGGGTACATACTATCTAGCCTCTCAAGTCCTTCCGATGGGCTTCAAAAACAGTGTCAGCCTGGCACAGCACGTGCGCAGAGTGATGGTGCGAAGGGCAGGAGGTGACAGAGGGGTTCACCTCCAGTCGCATCAAGAGATCAGGAAAGATCGTCCGTTCACGTCACATCCTGAATTGCATAGAGTCTACTTGGACAATTTCGACCTCCTGGAGAAGGTAGACAAGAGGACGACGGCGCTCCTACAAGGGGAGTTGAGTGAGAGTGTCCTGGCCCTCAGGAATGAGTACGAGAGATGGGGGGTTCCTCGTCACCCCAAAAAGTCAGTGGTCCGAGAACACAAAGCAGAAGTTCAAGGTGCCATCATTGATGGGATCGCTGGGCGAGCTTACCCCAAGCCTGTGAAGATCATGAAGTACGCCCAGCTTGCCAGTCTCCTGGTAGGGGAGAAGCGATGCTCCATGAAGCAGGCTCAGGTGGTTGCTGGGGGTCTCGTGTACATGAGTATGTTTCGCCGGCCATTATTAGGCTCTCTCAACGCCTTGTGGAAGTTCATCGAGTCCTTCAAAGCTTATCCTCCAGTAGTTCATCTGGAGATTCCCGCTGAGGTCAAGTTGGAGGTGGCTCGGTTCGTGTGCTTAATCCCACTGGCCCAGATGGACTTCCGCCTGAACATCAGTCCAGAAGTCACTGCCAGCGATGCTTCCACCACGGGTGGGGGGTTGACAGCGAGCGTAGGGCTTACCGGCTTTGGACAGGCCGCCGCAGCAGCCACAATTCGTGGTGACCTCCCTGAACCCGCAGACGTATGCGCCGTTCTCACCGTGGGCCTATTCGATGGCATTGGCGCATTGCGAGTAGCTGCAGATGCCTGTCAACTGCCCGTGTTGGGTCATGTCAGTGTAGAGGTGAAGAAGGAGGCCAGTCGAGTCCTTGAAAGTAAATTTCCCTCGACACTTTTTGTGGAAGAAGGAGTGGAGGCAGTAGATGATGAGATGGTGAGAGGATGGGCCTGCCGGTTCTCCCAAGCGTCAGTGGTCCTCCTAGGCGCTGGACCACCGTGTCAGGGAGTCAGCGGGCTCAACAGTGAGCGACGAGGCGCCC